TACAAAATGTCTCGCAAGCCTCGTACATGATGGTTAACATTGTGCAATCGGAGAACGTTCCAAAAACTTTCGTAAGGCAATAAGATGCTGTTAAATCACCAAGTGCTCATACATAGCTAATTATTCTCCATTCGAGTCACGATTATTACAAAAAACTCATCTATATCCATCTACGGCAGAAACCAACGAAGCGATTATTCTAATCAATGCTTTTACCCTAATGAACAGCGTCAATAAATATAAATAATTAAAAATGTCAATAAATTCTTAAAATTTATGAGACTGATATATTATTTAACAATATATAGGAAGAAGGGTATAATTTTATATTTGTTTTAATTGATCACGATTAGTCGTGACGTTTGACAAGAATTCTTAAAAACAAATCGTGTAATGGAATAACATACATATTGATGATATGACATAAACTATCAAGTTACTTTTCTGTAAATATATAGCTTTAAATATAAAATCTAATATATAAAATTTCCATGTCACAATGTTTGTTACCGTACTCCTCCGAAACGGCTTTACCGATTTTTACCAAATTTTATATGCGTATTCAGTAGGTCTGAGAATCGGCTACTATCTATTTTCCTTACCCCTAAGTGATAAGGATAAGGGTGGTCCTCCCAGACCCCACCCCAGGGACGTACCCGAGCGGAGCGAGGGTGAGTCGCTAGTGTTATTATAATAATGATATACCTATTGTTAGATTAACGCTACATTATTTGGAGCAATCACTGTCTAAGCATCCTAATTTTAGTATTTGCTTTTGACAAAAGAAAAACAGCACTAAATAGCAAAAATGCAGGTGCCGATTATAAGCAACAATACAATAAATATAAACCATTCCGTGAAAATTAAAATACCCGAATCCAAATCGAACAAATCGTTTCCAACTGAATCGAATATTATAGATTCTTGCCACCAATTTAGGTCTTGTAAGGAAATAAGTTACCACGTTATTATCGTATTGGACCAAGATGATAATTTCTAAAGATATCCGTAGGCGAAATGTTGCTTGGGACCGCGTCCACCTGCCCACTTTGATTTATTATGGATTCAGTATTAATTTGATATCCTTTTGCTGTAACCCCTTGAGCGATGTGGCCGAGCGAGTAGGCCTGCCCGGTCCCCATTATATGAGCTCTTGGAATATCATAATTGTATGCAGGCCGTAAGACAAAATAAATTTAAAAATAAACCCACAAACACGATATATATGAGATATAGCATACAATGATAATAGAATTATTGATTGAATTTATGTGAAATAGCCTATATCTTATACATATATGTAAAATATATAAATATCTCAAAATTATAACTGCACGCTGTTTGTACATGGAAAATATTTCAGAAAATTTATTATTGGAGTACTGATCCCCAAAAATAGTTTTTTTCGCAATAATAGTTTTTAACGCAATAGAACCCTAAGCAATGATTTTTAGAATTTTTGTTTGTATGTCTGTACGTTTGTGCGCGCTAATTACAAAACGGCTGAACCGATTTGGGCACGGCTTTCATTTTGTATTCTGATAAGCTTCACTAAACATTATCTTATTTCAATCGGCTTATAAATAAATAAAAAATGACAATTTAACGATTCACCTAGAAACAAACCCGAGAAGTGAGGGTGAATCGCTTATTAAATAATAATTCATAGGCACTGATAATTGTTTCTCGTATATTGCTAATAAGGAAAAATGTAATAGCAATAGGAATATACTGTTAGCATAAGTATTCGCAGCAGACACTGAGAAAGATATACAAACGAGGCTTTGATATTTTTATTGGCAAGCAAATCAACGTTCCTCACGATACCAGCTGCCTCTATGGAATAGACAGGCAATTGCCATATCTAGCATTTTTGTTGCCGTGTTGGTATCAATACAGGTTTAGAGTGAATACTTTTGTATCGTTGAGTGTTTACATCTCATCCGGTGGGAACCACTCAGCATCATCTTAATATTTGAATTTTTGTTCATTTTCTTGATTAGTTATACAATTTATGATTGAGATATTTAAACTTATGTACATAAGACGGTGAAGATTTTTTTCTATATTTTTATTTTGTAAATTAGATATTATCAAAAGCGATACATAGGTATCATAGTTATTAGTTTCGATATTTTACATAATAACTTATTTTGTACAATAAATTGTAGGTTGGGACGACGCATATATTACTCACAAAATTAATCTCGAAAATTGCTGTTCAAAAATTCTGATCATACGTCTTCTGCCGATCGACACGAGATAAAAATGCAGTTTTCGACTTATTTATTTACGTAAGGCCAGTTAGTTCTCATTTCGTATTCAAGAGGTGCTTAATACTTTTTCAGATCAACATTTTTTGTAATTATATAATGTTTTCTATATTCTTGCAAAGGTTTTCATTTGAGTCGTGACGGCATATTTTTCGCAGAAGTATGGAATTAGCGTGCAAGATCGTCCTTGGCGGTTCAAAGGCGGTCCTACATATTACATATTTTGATTTCTTTGTGGGCTATTAATTACAGTGTGGTGTATGATAACCTAACATTACGCTGGTCCTTGCTGCATCTCAGATATGAAGGCAATCTGGCATAAGGCAAGTTGTTTGCGACAAAAAACATTAAAACTTCGTAATTGTGACGCTCAATTCGTGATTTCATCGACAAGTTTGAAAACTTAAATAAAATAATGAGATAAACTTTAATTCTAATGGTCAATATTTTTTACTTGTTATATGATTATAAAAAATGGACTTTTTGTCATTGCCTATTCAACTGCTCGAAAAGACGAAAAAAATAAATAGTTCGGCAATTTAATGGGTGTGTGGTTGTACAGACAGAATAAAAATCATATTAAACTTATAATTTTATGTCTACACTCTGCAATGTGTAAAACCTTATATATAAAATACCTCTTTAATATGTTTAATACTTTTTTTTAACATCGTGTAAAGGAATAAAATTAATTTTGATAATTGATACCGTTATAACAATTTTTTTACATATTATATACATTATCACAAATAAATATGTAATTTGAACCATACAAAGAATATATCTAAAAGCAACAAAAAAGAAAGTTTCCTTAAATTACTAAAAAAAGATTTTTTTTTTTTACACTATTCAGAAATTCCTTTTAGCTTTACACGCGGACCGTATCAATCCCGACTTCTATTACCGAAGTACCAATAGAAACAGATGAGTCATCAGATTTTAAACTAATTACAGATCGAGAGGAAAAAACGAGTAACTCAATGCGAGACGACGGGCATCAGACGGGCATTAAGATTCATCAAAAATCACTAAGTCCGTGATTCTTCCATAGAGTTTCTAATTTTTATCTTCTGACTGGAGGTTTATTATAAGACGGATTAGAACAATTTCTGTTCACCAATAGCGAACTATTGGTAATATTGTATTTTTTATACTGTCATATATAATTTCAGGGCTTTAATTGTAAGCTTTGTAATATTTTGTTCGTAAGTAGAATTAAAGTTGAAAAAAATTAATGGCGCTTTGATTTGGGTAATTTCAAGAGTTGTTCTCGAGTTCTGCAAACTAAACAAACATCATAATCATATTTGTTATGACTGCTTGCTACTTTTTTAATTGAATTTTAAAATCTTTGTATAATAATTTTTGTTTATGCTGCCTCTGACTTCGTAACTTAGAAGTATTTTGAAGCTAATTATAAAAGCTATTTACAGAACACATGTGTGTAACATATTAAAGGAAAGTAATACCATTCGGAAGGATTACAACTTAAAATTGATATGAGACGAGCTCCGGCCAGTTTTTATGGTACTATAAAATCATTTGAATCGCCCCAAAAGCCGTCGACCCGATCCAAAGCGAACACTTAAACATGTTATATTTTATAAGATTTATTCTGGCATTTTATAATCGGATTATATTCTAACGTATCTATATAAGAATATTTAACGTGGAAAAATTACGTAATGTTAAAAGATTTGAAAATAAATAAATTATATTCTTTATGTATTTCGCAATTGCACTTGTTTTAACCGACTGCCAAAAAGGAGGAGTTTATCAATTCGTCGGAATCTTTTTTTGTCTCTTTTTTATGTATGCTCACCGATTACTCGAAGACGCCTGAACCGATTTGGAATTTTTTTGTCTCGTGTATTTATTAAGTAAAGTGAGATAAATTGAGCAAATAAATTATTATTTTTATGTTTATATTTTACATAAAAAAGTAGTCGAAACGTTTTACATAAATTGCTTATTAGATTTATTTTCATCCTTGTTACTGATTAATGCACGAATCAATTTAAAAGTATCTTGTCGAAGCACAAAATGCTATCCTATTTGAATAATAGCTTGTAATAAAAAGTCCAATTAACTCTTTTTTGATATACTAAAGAACGCTTAGTTTTTATAGAAACTATAAATCTATATTTTATAGATGACCAACCAATAACTTTGTGGGAACGCTACAAATACTATTATATTTAAAACTGGACATTGATGTAATTAAAAATCCTTTATGTAGTTAAAATCTATTATTTTAAGATGCAGCGGCTTTGGCATAAAGGTTTGATATGGTGTGAAGTTTTATATGAGACAAATCTTCACACAGCATCCGAAAATAAATTGAAAATATTCTTCTTAGAACATTAAAGCATGATTACCGGTACCACCATTAATTTGAGAGCATCACTGTTTATTTATACCTCTTCAATCAAGATAGATAAATTTCCCAGAACTAGTACTACGATTAAGAAACTTATAAATATTTCAATTCCAAGTAGCCGAGCGGATGCGGCCACAGTCGGCTTAACATCTGCAACTTGAGTTACACCGGCTGTCAGTTACGTGCATATAAAATGGGCCTTTATATTTACTATGACCAGCCTTGTAGAAAATTAAAACGTATATAAAAATGGAACCAGCTCCCAAAACCTATAATTACGTACCGTCCGTATATAAGAATAATGGTATAGTGCAAATTATGACTACATAAAAATATGCATGACTCACCTATGGTCACGCAAGTGGTCCTGTCTTCGGAACGCTTTTCCGCATATATCACAAGAATATGGACGCTCGTCGGTGTGGGTTCTTTCGTGGATTAACAAATTATAGGATTTCGTGAATTGACGATTGCAGAATTTACAAATAAACTGTTTCTTGGGCCTCGAAGCTCTTCCTGGGGCTCGTAATAGCCGTCTATCTAGATGAGGATGCATCTGGTGAGGACCTGCCCCTGAAGGAAACAAGCCAGCACCAGGAAAGGTGAAACTATTAGCAGCTGTTGGCGATGGGCCTGGTGCTGCAAGAAAGGCACCTGGTGGACCATAAATTGGAGGCTGAGATGATCCATCTGATATCATGCCTTCCATAGATGAAGTTCTATGATGAGGAAGCAACATTGCTGCTGCAGCTTCTCTTAGCGCAACCTCTTTTCTTTTTTCCACCATCATAGCCATAAGATCAAATGAGTTTCTTTTTGAGAAATTGCTTGGTGCTCTGTCCGGTGATCCTTTTGCTGATTCGCTTCTATCCCTCTCTAGCATTCGCTCTCTTTCTATTATTTCGGATGGCATCAGTGGAGGGTGCATGTCATTAGGATACATAACCGGATGCATGGCTCTTGTTGGCACTACAGGTACAAAAGCTGACGATTCTCTATGAGTTGATGCAAGAAGAGATCCCGTAGTCATCTGACGATGGTAAGGTAGAGGGGGTGATTCAAAGTTTCCATTAGGGTTGCGACCATTTGATGAAGGCCGTTGTGTTCTCTCGGAAGAATTTGCCAGAAACTGATCATGTCTTGAACGTAGAGGTGCGTTTACTGGACTTTCGGTTACCGGGCGGGGTGTAGACGCCCTTGATACAGCAGTTGTCCCGTTGTCAGACATAACGTGATGAGAATCTGTAAAAAGTAGAAAATATATATATATATATAAAGATTATAATGCCAAATATTATCATTTCTTTGCACTTAAAACCAGATTTACGCTAAAAGGTCTCCGTTATTTAAATAACACGAGAAAGGACTTTTTGATTCCGATTTCCATTAACGGTATAAAATCTACATTTAATAAGTTTTAAGTAACATAATATTACAGTATAGTAAATGGTTTTTTTTCTTAATATAATATGTATATTATTTAATATATTATTTTTCTTAATATATTTATTATTATGGAAGAAAGCTCAATTCGTCCGAATTATAGATTAAATGCATAACAATGCAGCCCTTGTTAACTTCTCACTGCTGGGCAAACGTTTACCCTCATTGTGAGGTTAGATCAGATCATCATCTCGGCCATATGTCATTTTTCGATTTTAATATATATTTTATATACTAAAACACTGATTACTTCAAATATACTAGCTAGACATTGTCATTCTATAAGGCTTTTAAAACGAAAAGCTCAGCTCCAAACTTGATGTTTATCTTTATGGCTTTCACTTATGGATCGTAAGAAGGTATAAGCTGCGCATGGAACTTGCCAACAGGTAAGTGTTGAATATTGAGATTTATGAGTCGAGATGAAAATGTTTAATTAACGAACCCTACAATGTTTCTAGTTAATGATGATTTAAAAACAGATTGTTTATCAAGTAACCTGTTTACATATTAAAAGGTGTTTCAGTTATTTATATACGTTATAGACGCTCGTTTTTTAACTTTAAATGATTAGATTTTTTATTATAATATAATTTAATTTTCTTAATACATGTACCATAACAATAATATTATTATTTTTATTAGTAAATATTTAATTTTAAGCGACTGTCTTGTTTTATTTACCTATTTCTATCATTATGTAAATTAAATGTGTACTTCATGCATCATTCAACAATTTATTTAGAATAGTATAGATTCTTAGCTTCTGGTGCTATCAGAAAATGTTAATGACACCCAGGTCTTGATACGAAACTGATATAAATGTCTATAAGTGATATGTTGCTTTCGATCGCTCAGAATACCTGTTATTTATAAGGAATTTTACTCTCCGATAAATAATAATTAGGAATGTAAAAAATTATTCTGTCATACTTTAATAGCGTATATTATTTTTAGGGTTCAACTTTTGATATATTTTAGAATTGTTGTGACATTTGTTGTGACATTAACACACAGCACCATCTAGTTCCATGGTAACCTACGAGGCTTGTGTTATGGATACCAGATAGTTGATACACTACACATATATAACTTTAAATACATACATATTATAAATATAAACACCCATGACTGGAGTACAAACATTCGCGCTCAGCACACAAATGAATCCCCCCAGCGGGACTCGAACCCGCGACCGCTGGCACAGCAAGTCACTACAAACTGAGCCACACGCGTCGTCAAATTAATTAATTTTAACATTTTAATCTTTACTACTGTTATGCTAGAACGATATTATTGTCTCTTTATGCTTACATAATACTAATAACATCTCCGAGATTGCTATTTTGAGATTTACGATCAGTTTGATGGTTACCAACTGAAATATGTGTTCTGAAGGACAATAAAATGTTAGTTCTCTTATTCACTATTGGAAGTAATGTTTTTTTTCCACATCCTGAGTCATAAAACGTATTGAATTAACATAGTTTATTTACTTAATGCCTAAAAAAAGAACGTATAAGCTCTGTTATAATTATCTCTAGGCGATTAACGTATTGAGATCCAGTTCAATAAATTTCACTAACAGCAAAACACAATTTGGCGGTGAATTGGCTATAAATTACTGAAAGAAAAAATATAAATTTTAGAATCAATTTATTCAAGCAAGATCGAAAAGAAGGCAAGCGCCGGGCCCACATTTCACTGCATGTTGCCCGTTCTACCGTAAAAGCCTTCTGAATCGTCTTCCCTTTCACTCACAGGCGTTTTTATGTTTTGTTTCACTCCCACTGAGGTAACGCCTGATCGAGTTTCTACCATCTTACTTGCTCCGAAGCTGTAAAACTACTTTTATCTCTTTTGGTTTGAGAATTTAGATATGAATATGTATGAAACCACTGCAGTAAGTAATACTCTTGGTTGTAATACTTTTCATTACAATAGCATAAAATTGTAAAGGAAGTTTAAAATGCATAAATTACGAGATATGTATAGATAGAGATAAGTTTAAATGTGTTTTTAATTTACGTATCTATATAAATAAAAAAAATTATGATTAGCTGTAGATATGACTCGTACAAACCTTGTATAAAAAACTTAGGTTAATAAAATCATTTTGGTTGATAATTTACCTATTTACATACAAATTTAAGTAACTTTTAGTAGTTCAGACATTTTTTTTAACAATTTAAAGTCCATTAAACCCGAGCAAGTAATTTAATAAGGGAACGCGTATTCTACGTGAATAAATGTAAATATATTTAAATAAATGGATCGAGATCTCTTCATGTACAAACAAAATGGTAGAGTCCAACTAATTCTCACTGCATATTTCATTGCGATCTTGATATTATGTAAGCAGATGAGTTCAGTATTATCGTCCAATAAATTATATGGTCGAATAACTTCTTTGGTAGCCCGCTTTGCTTTGGTTTGTATGGGAATATAACACCCATTTATTACGCACATGCTGCGTTGCGTTCATTCTTGTGAAAGTTTTGCTCACGACAAATATATGATATGTGTAACATCTTGGGTGTTAAGATATTTGAGAACTCTTAATACGCATATTGGACATGTAGTTCAAATTAAAAGTTACCAAATATATTATATTAAAACGTCCAGGTAAATTTCTAAGAAATTAATTAAATTTCTAAGAAATCTATTGTTAACTGTAACGCCGGCGTGTCCGCGGTCGTTGAAGAATTAAATGGTTTTTTAAACTTTCGAAAATATACTTTATAATAAGCAAATAATTTTTAAAGGAACACCAAATAAAACAATTTAATATAACGATTCAGAAGCTTTTACCAGTGAATGCAGGACCCTCGTTCCTCATCAGTGATAGATATCATCCAAACAAAAAGATTGGAAACGTATAGATGTTTGTTTTTCATTCCAGCTTATATCAGAGATGTGGGCCAGTTCGATCTGAATGCACTAAATCAGCGCTACACGGACCTGTCTTAGTATTTAGTTCGTTAATCCCTTTGCGGTGTGGGGTTGTTGACTTCTGGACCTGGTTTTTGTATCACTTACTTTTAATTAAATCTAACTATTTTCATTATCTAAAAAGATTTTATTCTAAATATCATCATTTATACGTACTATTTTATTAGAAACGTAAAAGTATCTGTCTGCATCTTTGTTACTGTTTCACGCTTGACCGCTTGACATTTTTCTATGGTACTTTCTTAGATTTACACGATTAGACATTTTAAATAAAACTTATTTATGTATATTCAGATTTTATCGCAGATTTATTTTCATTTTTGAATCTCGACGTTTTGAATGCTTTACAGCAATCATGGTCACCAGAGAGATGAATTTTGACGAAAGATAATTAATGGGCATAGACTGTATAATGGAAATATTTTTTTCTTTTTAACTCCACCTGCTTTTGGATATACTATGAGAGCGGAGCCTCGGTAATAAAACTATTATTTTTATGTATGTAAATAACTAGGAACTCACCTTTGCTTCGCTCTAAGTAACATTTTATAACACTTGATGTGATGAGATATATAATTTTCCGGTCAATAAACTAACTATCTCTTAGCAAAATTCACGTGGATCAGTTACTGAGTGAAAGAAAGATACACAAACATAATTTTTATTTCTTATAGATATATAAAACATTAGTAAAAATAATTCTTACTAGCCTAATAAGCTTGCTTATGAAGTGTTCTTTTTGGACATCATTTGATTACCCCACAATAGATACAATAATCTAACAGAGAATGTGTTAAAGAAATATTATTAAAAATACTTTACATAGCATACATATATTATATATATGTCAAAAATTAAATTTAAAAATATTATTGATATCAATGTTTATTCTATGAAAATTTCAGATTTAGATTTACATTAGTATAGTCATATATTCTAAACCATTACAACAAGTGCTATATGTTTTTAATTCATTAAGTAAATTTTATTAACATATATTTCATAGAAACTTCTATATAATATATATGGTTATAAGCTTTAAATTAATAACTTGACCTTTCTTATTGCAAAAACGTAAACAAAGAGGTGGAATTAATGAAGCTATCATTTTTAATGCAAGGCTGATTGGCTTTTTGATAAGAATATAATAATTCATCAAGAATAACATACGTAGATTATTTAAAAAAGATATGAAACTACAAAAGGCCGTAAAATTATATTGGTTTAAGTAATTGGCAAGTTAATATTTACATCATTCTATATATAAATATGGTTAAAGCTGGAAGATCATTTGTTCTCTAACCGTAAGATCTTTAGCTACTATGTTACAATAACTAGATTTTATTTTTTAGTTAGTAGTGAGCTTTTATAATGCAAATTTATATGTAATAATTTTAATTTGTTCCAAATTTGTAAGGCAGTTTAATTAAAAAACGTCTTACTGCTTCTTTTCTCACGTGATGTATCCATAAAATGTAACTCAGTAATGCTGGTAACTCTAAATCAGTATTATTTGAGCATTAATTACTTTCTTTTTAATATTTTGTATATTATGGTAGATTTCCCATACAAACTTTCATCCCCATTTTCACCCTCTAAAAGGAATATTTCCGGGATAAAAAGTATCTTATGTCCTTTCCAGGGTCTCAATGGTATGGTATGGTATGGTATGTTCGGGCTGTTTTCCGCAACTCGACGACTATGCGCCTATTTTGCGTGTGTATCCAGGGTCTCAAACTATCTTCTTATCAAATTTCATCTAAATCGGATCAGTAGATCCAGAGATTGCCCCCAACAACGTCACAAACTCACAAAATTTACCTCTTTATAATATTAATAGATCAGCCAAATACTGTCCCTATATTTTAATCTTGCTCTTCATAAACATTTTTATAGTGATATATCAAATAATTGACTAATTAAATTTATGTCACGCGTATAATAACTGGTAAGTGTTCGGACACGTCAGAATAATACATAGAGGGTCATATGTAGAGTCATTTAAGTAGTGATACATTAACATTCCATACTAACATATCTGCGGTAAATATCAAAGTAAATCCGATTAGTTTCCTGGAAAACTCAAATCAATCATTAAAGGGCCGAGCTGTTAAAAATATTATCAGATAGAGATACAAATACAAACATATAATTTGTATATTGGTTACAATTATGTTTATTGTTTTTATAGGAGGCACTATTTTTCGGTACCGCAAGGTTTCTATTGTCAATGATAAACGTTTTGATAACGTGATTAGATTATGTTATCGTTTGATGGTAGAGATTAACTACCTTATATTAAACCGTGTAACTACGCTGTGTTATATAACTAATACGCAGAGAATATTATGCCTTTTTCTGGCATTTCATTAAAAATCACCACTTCTTTCCTTTATAAATAAATTCAATATATTTTTTGTTAATGGCTTCAAAGTGTGCCAGTTGAGCACAAATTACTTCGCCAATGTCACGTAGAATGGAGAATACACGAACGAGATTGGTTAAAATAAGTTCACTAAACTATATACCTCCAGGTAAATTTCTAAGAAATTAATTAAAATTCTAAGAAATCTATTGTTAACTGACACGCCGGCGTGTCCGTGGTCGTGGAGGGATTAAATTATAATGTTCAAAGAGCTCGAATCGAATCTATTATCTACCTATATTTTATTAGTGACAGATTTTTTTGAATCAAGACGGTAGAGTCAGAGATTACCCTCTTTATACATATATAAATAAATATTTACTAACACTTGTTAATAATTGTATAACAGGTAATTTTTAAATATTATTAATAACTAACAAAACCATTGTGTTGTTGAAATATTTTTACTAGAACTTTAGGGCAAGCATTTGTCTGTTGCAATCACATCTGTTGTTGTAGAGTTTGCCTTATTAAAGTCATTATTATATTAGAACTATAAGGATATGTATATATATATATATATATATGTGTGTGTGTGTGTGTGTGTGTGTGTTTAAGATACTACTGTGTAAATAAAATAGATGCTACGTGGTTGCTAATTAATAATGCGGCTGTCATGTCATTTTTTATCTTGACACCTATATCTGTAAGTCAATCAGGTAAGTTTTCATTAATTTTATGCGATTATGATCACATACAGTCATTAGTGTCGCAGTACATAGATATAATGAATTGTAATGCAATCGGAAACCGCGAAACCGAAAACGGCATTGATTTAAAATGTTGTAAGTGCTTTATATTATAATGATTTGCTACTAGTTGTTAAGAAGAAACAATATTTATAGTATTTTTTTACATGAAAGAATCGATTCAGCATTTCCAGAGTAGGTACAACTAAACAGTCAAATAAATATTACCATACAATAAAAGTGGAGTAAGGCAGTGGTAACCCAGTGGTAACGCTGACTTGGGACACTGACCTCTCTCACTGGGGGCTGTAGGATCGCACCTCTGATATGGAATCATTTTTGTGCGAATCATTTTTAACACTATTACCATTTATCTTTCGCCGAAGGAAAAGATCGTGAGGAAACCTGCATATCTAAGAGAATCTAGTAACTTTTCGAAAGATATGTGATGTCCGCCAACCCTCACTTGGCCAGTGTATTGAAGGAAAGCCCAAGCCCAGCATTGGGACCTAAAAAGGGCTGTATACAATATACATACAATAAAATATTCAGCCCAGATTTTTGTAACATCGCGCAACTTTTGTAAGACAAATCTTAACCGGATAAACATGCCTTGTGAAGTAGGCAATATCAATCAGACCTATACTTACTGTGACATGCTGCGCTCAACAGTCATTAGTCTTCTAAATAAAACAGTATTTATTATAACTGGTGTACGCCCATTAGTGGAAATTCGAAAATAAATTATTATTATTGAAATTTTGCGGAAAACATATTATATGAAAGGAATTAACTTAACTACATAAAAAAATTGTATTTACATCAATAGCTACTAACAAAAAAAAAAAGAAAATCACTTGATAAACAGAGGAGATAAAGGTACTTAACTATTTTGTCTTTGCCTATTTATATGTTTATAAATTATTACCCTTAAAGTGAAGTTCTATATAAAAAATGTTATGAAAATGTTGATAAAATATACATATTCCCAAATTAAATGCCTCGACCGTTTTTGAAGTCGCTCAAAAACGAACTCTACAACAGTAATACATTTTTGAAGACAAAAGGAAACATGCAGACTCTAATACAATAAGTGGTTATTTTAAACTTCTTTGGAAATTAACAATACCACAAAACCACCAACTAACTCTACGTTTTGAAATGGAACATTTGTCCACGTGTTGTCAATACAATAGACCTTTCATAGCAAGTGTGTATGAATGGCACATACAATTTACAGTTTTTATATTTAAAGAGCTTGGTATATTGCTACTTGAATGTTATTTTATTTGAATACTAGCAAATTACTCTCGCTTCGCTCGGATGCGTCCCTAGGTATGTTTTTTTTTACAGAATCTCAATTCTTTTTCTAAATTTAAAATAACCTAAGTTACTCCTTATAACATCAGCTATATTCCAGTGAATGTGCCGTCAAAATCAATCCATCCGTTTCGATGATTTACCGGAACAAACAGACAAAAATTTTAAAAATTGTGTTTTCTTTCTTTCTTAAATGTAAACTATATACTTTTATATGTTTTTAGTATAAAATTGGTATTTTAACTTCACAAGAAGACTCTTCAATTTTATTTATCTGTACTATTATAATTATAATAATAGTGCCCTATAGCTCTACATTTACATTACATAACATTTATATTTCTATAGATTTGTATCAATTAAAAGTTGATAATTAATCTCGTAGTATTAGATTTTTGTATCATATTGCATAAATTTATATAATATTGTATAAATGAGCTAGATATCTCTAACATGCTATTATGATCATAATAGTAGCGCTCTACATATGTATACATAGGATTTATATACATTTAAGCCCATATTTATAATATTAAATTGTGGTTGTAAATGTTATAATCTTGTGATTATTATAAATTCCCTAATCTTCTTGAATTGTTTTACTTTCCATAAACAATAAAGCTACTGACTATAATAATTATTTAAAAACAGTGGCATCGTTGTAAATCTATGTAACAATGGAATAAACCTCAAACCGTTATATGGAAATCTTTTCATTGTCTTGTGTGGTATCTAAAAAGAAGCTTCAATTTTTATATTCAACATCCGTATAAAAGGATAAATAAAACAGGTAGCGTAAGCGCACCCTGCCTACCCAATTTATTCCACATCCGCCGTATTAAATTACATATTCTATAAAAAAATCGAACTCACAAGTCGACGGGTCGTCCGATCGATCGTCCAACGTGTGGCCTGACGCCCTCAACCCTCGGAAGTCAGGTAGTCGCCAAAGTTTACAAACCGAGGAACCGCATCGGACAATGATAGATCATTGCTATTTTTTGTCACATTTTACAGTCTAACCACGTTCGGCACGGTCAGGTGTAGTACACAAAAGCACTGCACAGAAACAGTCAATGGGCACTAAAGTGTTGTTATTGCACGTATTACTAGCACACTTGGTTTAACGACAGTTCGAGTTCTCACTGAAATCCGTTTATAGTGCACAGTTGTATCACAAAGTATGTATGTCGGTTGTCGCTTCAACGAAGGCTGCGCGTGCGCAAGCGGCGCGACTAGTGGGAGTTGAGCGCGTACTACTGTAGTCAAGTCGTCAGAGGCAGTAGCGCTCCTGTAGCTACCCCGCTCCCCTCCCACCCCGCACCACTCCCCCCGCCCGCCGAAGCCTTCGTACAGTTTTTACTTTGGAAGCGATAAAAAAGGGATATCGTTCGATTGTTTATTTTTCGTGTTAGTAGCATATAAGTCGTGTAAATTAACACCCTCGAATGTTTGGTCCGATCATGAATTTCGTCCATACTTGCTAATTGATAATATAAATTGGCATACAATATAAGATTGTGTTTTTTTTAATATATTTTTATTGCACTCTATATGAATGTATGGAGATAAATAAGAATAATGTTATTTTAATACTTTATTACAACGAATTCTATACATGCAGTCACATATAATATATTAAAAAATCATTGAATAAGAATTTTATTTAACTCAAAACACTTAGTAAATTCATATTTAAAATTACGGACGCAGCGATATATTTTATAATATGAAATTTACTAAAAATATTCTATCAATAAAAGTAAGTAGGTACATTACATTAACTATCATATACATAAATAAATTTTAACAAAACGTATATATATCCTTAGAAATGTAACGCGATGATTAAAATCATTATTTTTACAATAACTGTGATAAAGATATTGATTATAATATGGATGATAACATCGATGGTATAATTTTAAATTTAAACGGAATATTATTTTTTTATCTCGAAGTACTTACAATGAACACATTACAATTATGTTTTTTTTTAATTATAGATATATCCAATTTTATATAACATTAATTACAATCTAATGATCAACGTGCAATTATAATATGTATAATTTATCATATCTCGATATTTACTCACTCCGAACACTCACTAGTACAAGGCTACTTCTATAAGCATTAACAAAAACAGTTTTTAATAAGTCTTTTTATTTATTTTTTATTTAAATATATTTGAGCTTTTACATTATATATGTACATACAAATAGTGTTATGGTTATATTTTCTTAATTATCAATTTTAATGCACAGTTTAAGTCACTATTATGGACCACATTCTACAGGAGATTTTTTGTCTCTCTCAAACATTTTAAATTATTTTTTTATCTACACTAAGGACTCATTTTGAAAATGAATAAGCGCGAATAAATTATTAATAATAACATATATTTACAAAGATTTATTTACTTAATAATTACTAAAAAAAATATTTGACATCAACGTTTATAATAAATACTCGTAATTAAACTATTGATAACTAACTATTGGTTCTGAAGTTATTTGTTTCTTGGGTTTGAAAATGAAAACATAGTTTTTTTGGAAACTAGTTCAAGCCAGCTGATATATATAGCTTTTTGGTATTACAGCTAAGAAGTCGCTAAATTTTTATGCGGAATTGAAGCTGTAAATTTGAAATAAATGGATCAATTGAAATAATATATAATTTATTTATATTTATTTTTATTTATTTATTTATGTACCACAAAATATGCGTTATATAAAATAAAGTAATAGACGACAAAGGATAAATTATCTCTTTAAGAGATTTCTTCCAGAAACCCTTCAAAAGTGAGAAAATAAGTTAATTTAGTGCGGTGTAGGTACAGTACATACAGCATAAAATGATAGATATTATACATATATTATGATTTAATTATAAATTTCATTAAAATCAGTACAGGCGATTCAAATACACTACTTCATCAAATATTTATTTGGCAAAAATAATAGGTCGATTATAATGTATAGAAAAAATAAATAATAAAATAATTATTTTTTTGTATTAATATAGAACACGGTAATAATTTTACATTATTTTTTTTAATGTAAATACTTAAGTACTAATAAGAAAATCTGATTTGGCACATTTATATTTGAATATACATCATATATGTATATATTTTATATGTATATAAATCTCTAATATCTTCACAACTTTTGGCGCACTAACATTACTTTCTTTCTAAAATCTTACTTTTTTAAACGTGTAATCTTTATAACAGCATTCAAAATGTCGTTCTTTATGAGTTATATATATATATATATATATATATATATATATATATATATTATTTACGTTTTACTATTACTTCTACATCCATTAAATTTTATAGGAATTTTCCTACATTTTGACTAATTTCTCATAGTACTTACTACAATAACTAAACCTATTTCTTAAATCCTTTATAACTACTGATAATTTTATTTTAATTTTATGTCAATTTAACATTTTATTTCAAAAACTCCTTAGATTTTCATACCTCTTCCAAAATTTAGTCTCATTTTGTTCAGTCAAGTATTATTAATAGGTATTCTATTATACCTTGACTTTAAAAACATTGATATCGATATATATTTTATTAAATATTAATTTTAGAATAATCTGAATTAAAGCTACATGTTTAATAAAAAAAATTCGATGTTTTAAATTTATTTTTGATGAAATAATTATTATATTAAAAATAAAATATTTTGAAGATAAAAATAAATAGTTATCTTAATACATAATAGCTTTTTGGATCAGTATTTTATTCTATTTTCTTTATTATTGTGGATATTTAAATTAATATATAAATTATTTTTTCGGGACGGGACTTAACGTTGTCGCGAGATTTTGAATATAAATTTTCATAAAACCTACTTAGTTAATTTTTTGTAAATAATTTGCTTCTTTTAACAATAAATAAAATATATTTTTAGTTTTAATATATTTTATAATTTATTTTGGATATAACTGGCTTAACATAAACTTTGAAACGGAAAAAGGAAAAAAATAAAAAAAATAAAAAAGGAATATTTAATAAGTTAATATGGCTATGGCTATACAAATTCAAATGAGTCTGAAGTAAAATGTCTTCGTCAACCGGCCTTCATCCAGCGATCTATAGAGTATTCTAGAGCTGCCATCCATCTGAAATTAAATAGAAATGTGTGAATTAATATATCCCTACTTAGTATGAAACACGTATGTATGTCTGTGCATAAATTTTTCCATAGCTATTAAAAGTATACTTTAGGGTTTTACCATATGAATAATATTTTAAATTTTTAAGACATGGTCTTGTGGTTAAAATAGTGAATACAATTTGATTTTTTAAAGGCATCAATTTACATATACTATAAATCAATTTGCTACTTTTTGTAATAAAAAATATTTTTGTAATAAACTGAATTATTTTTATACCTCCTCACTAATAAACTATTATCACTAGACTCGCGTCTCGTATTCTCTTACCTTGCGTTGTATATCTTTTAGACCATTTTCTCATCGCTCATTCTAAACACCTAAACCTAGATACTAGTGACTAATTAGTGACCTGTGTCCATTAAGTAATTATTTGCAATTACCAAATATCCCACAGGAAAATTGATATATGCTGGGATATATCCATCCAATAGGGCCAAATCTTACTCTCCGACTCAAAAACTGCTGTATACGACAAATGATATCGACGGCTTCCGCGTATATTTCGCATTCGTAATATTTATGCAAGGATTGTGTAACTTTATTCTTTAACTAGCTGAGCCCAAAGACGTTGTTTTGAAGAAATTTTAATAACAACTGTTGGGATCTTTGAGTTTATATACAAATCCTATAAAAAGCTACTTTCAATTTGATTCAATTTTTTTATCTTTCTTTCCTTAAAAACCTTATGCTTATGCTTATAATTACTCTATGTTATAATTAAAAAAAAGAGAGCTAAATCAGTCCACACGTTCTCAACATCAGTTGAGAACTTACCAACCGAAATCATTTCTTTTTAAATATAGACAAACGATTCACTCGCTTCGCTCGGGTTCGTTCCTAGGTTGCTTTCTCATACAAAATTTCATCCCTATTTTCACCCCCTTAAAGGATGATTTCAGGGATAAAAACTATAATAACCTATGTCCTTCCCAGGGTCTTAAGCTATCTTCATACCAAATTTCATCTAAATCGGTAGTTTCAGAGCTTATTCGGTACAAGCAAACAAACAAAAAATCGTCCCTCTTTATAATATCAGTATAGATTGAATTTTCATATCAATTTCTAACTCGATTAGAGATTAACTTGTAAAATTTTAGAGGAATTTTATCGTTTAATTTACCTTTTCCTATCCATTTCAGATTCGGTGTGGAAGTAGAAGTGTCTCTGTTTGGGTTCGGTAGGCATTACTTCGAACGCGTATTTCTTGCCACCCGTAGAGCACGTTTGTATCCTGTAGCCGTGGAGACACGCCATGCCTGCAATTATGTATTGTAATGGAGGTGCACGTTTGAATCAAATCGTTCGGAAATTGAAGACGAATTGTGATTGAATTTTCAAATAACCGTAATACGAATTTACGTTATATTTTTATAAGGTATTTTTGTTTTTTCATAATAAAATCAAAATCTTGATTCAAATGCTATGTAGAAAAATTAAAAAGTGTAAATTTTTTTTTTTAATTTTTACACCAAACATTAACATAATTATGATAAAACTTAAATAATTATTTATTTTAGTGTATTTTTTTTAATTATTAAGTGTTTTAAATATTTAAGCGATAAGTTTTACATATTTGAAAGTTATTTGAAGTGTCCTTTTCTCAATAATGTAATATAAACTATAAAGTATAGATAATTTAATTCTTTTGGCCCAGACAGAGTAGACTGTTTTGCTTTCGAAGGCTTTAAAATATACGATGCGGTACGCCTTACGCATCTAAAGTCGTAAGCATTCTACCCCTTTCAAGGCAAAATTTGAGAAGAAATACATAATTTAGTTAATAGACCTTACATAACACTAAAAAGTAAATTGTTTTAGTAAAGTTAAAGTTATGTTGAGATATAGGATACTTTCGCTCTGTTATTTAAGCGACCGCAAAATAAACTTTCTTTTTCATAATATCTTTGACAGATATAAACTTATTTGTACTGTTGACAGAATAAATATTACCTAATAAATTCCATTACTTAAAACTTAAGACTTTATGTTAGAAGTAAAAAATTACCCCGAGTCAGACTCACACTTGACTGATTTTTATAATATGCAGTCCTTATTGTATGAACTCTTTGTAGATTCATAATATAAGGGTTTTATAACCGTATAATTTATTTTATATTAAAAATAAACTTTTTAATTTAATAATAGCAATTTTAGCTGTAGAAAAATACCATAGCAACTGTAGTAAAAAACCTCTACGTAGGAATAATAAGTATTGTATCATATAACACGATTAATAAAGATAAGAATATTTCGTTGATACATAAAGAAAACTACCAAACTTATATTTTTCTTTTATCTTATACAGTCAAGGTAAACTCATTACAATTATAATCCTATGTTTTATAATTTAATGACTTAGTAGTGTAATTAAGATATTTTTTAAAATATCTAATTAGCATAGCTTAAGATGTAATGTACAGGTGGTACATATCTGCGTAATTAGCAGCATCCGGCGTCATCAAGTACTTAAGGGATTTTTTATCTTTGATTATGTTTTACTATGTTTTTTTATCTATGTCCATATCCGTTATTGACAGGGCGAAGGATAAAGGAGATTTCATATTTTATATTTTTTGTTTGAAATATTAATCGTAATGCCAAAAGTATTACTTGCGTTTTATGATCATTGTCGCCGTTTGTGGGATGAGAGTTTAGTCGACAGTTTATCTTGCGTAGGATTAATTTTTTATTAAATATAGGATTTCGTTTGGTGTTTCTATTTATAATTTTTTACCTATTTATTATTATTATATAAGAAATAAACATTACATCATTATAGATATATATTTTTTTAAATAGGAAATAAAATTTTTTGTACCTTATGGTAAAAAATCCATATAAATGATACTGGTGCTATAAGAGCAACACTTGACTTAATTATTATTATTATTTTTTATTAATTTAAAAAAAAAGTAATATTTTACAAGATTTACAAAATATTTACATTTTAAACAAAACTATTTTTTGCGGATTTCTTTTGATTTTTATTTCCTGACATTTCCAATGCTTTACAGCAATCTTGGTCATAAGATTATCATATTAAAAAAGTAGGAACGATAGGAACATTTAGTTTAACGTTCTCAAATTACTTCTAGATTTTTCTTCACATCATAATACAAATTATTAAAAAAATAAATGTATACAGCCTTAAGAAACAAAATAATACGTACCAAAAGCATTTTTGCTATTTCCGTCATTATAAAAGTATAAGCATGCGTCCTTCAGCACACAGTATCGTTTAGCCCAGGATTTCCACTTCGAGCCTAATTTCATTAGATATCCAAAGCAATCCGGTCTTGGTATTGAAGATGGTGGTAACTTCATATTCCTCATAGTTACTTCTAACCAGCCATCTCTCTGTAAACAAGGTTTTATATAATCCATATTTCGTTTAACAAACTACTAGCATTGCCCGCGGCTCCGCCCGCGTTCAGATGACCAAAAACCAAATTCTTAGGTTTTACATATTAGTATACTCTTACATTGCAGTTTTTGTATTTTTTCTCAGAAATTAGATATTTTCCTGCCATAATAAGTACCCTATATGTTGACCCGGATAACCAGCTATCATCATACCAAATTTCATCAAAATCCCTCCAGTGGTTGATGCGGCAACAGACAGAAAATAATTCTAAAAACTATAGATTCGGCCTCTGTATCGATAATAATGTCTATTTCAATAAGATTTTCCAAAAAATATCCAATGTACAGATTCGGCTTAGTTACAATTTTATTATATGTATAGATTATGATGTAACATGATACCGCCCATGAAAGTGTGTGAGGTGTGAAGTGGCATAGATACATATTATGTACTATAATATAAGCGATGCATATACAATTACTGTTCGTATTTAATTAATGCTATACCTATTTAAACTTACAAATTGTCATCTCAGTGCTTATTTGTTCAAACAATCAAATTACGGAAAGAGTTTTTATTAGAGAATTATTGTCTTCGAAATCAATTAATTCTAATGATATAATAAGAAACATGTGTATGTGTATTCAGCCCTTTTTAACGTCCCACTGCTGGGCACGGGCCTCCTTTCAATATGAGGGGGATCTGGCCATAGTCCACCACGCTGGCCAAGATCGGGTTGGCGGACTTCACATTCTTTCGAAAACTTGCTAGGTTCTCTCAGACATGGAGGTTTCCTCACGATGTTTTTTCTTCACCGTGAGGCAAGTGGTAATCATGTTAGAAATGATTCGCACATGAAAATATCAGAGGTGCGAGACCTGGGATTTGAACCCGCTTCACTCGGTTTCCCAAGCAAGCGCGTTACCACTGGGCTACCACTGCCTTACAATTAGAAACATATTTTACTTTTAAAAAGCCTTGAATTTTATTTTTTTAATCTATATTGTATATGAAACTTAGAAACAAGCTTTATTTATAAAACAGAGGAAGAAATCTTTCTACTGTGAAGTATACTTAGTATTGGTAGTTTGAATGATTAAAATCTAAAATTATACAAAATTAAGATACGTGCTTTGCAAGTTTAATAAAATAATGTTCAAAAAGATATTCTATTTTAACAATATAAAATAAAGTTAAAAATAGAATATCTCGATAATAAGGAGGGTGAGTGGAAGAGAAAGTAGGGGTAAGTAGTAATCATGATACTATGTCGTAGAAAAATCTTTTTAGCTTGCAGATTAAAGTTTTAAACTAATCTGCTGAATGAAACGCATATGTTACAAACAACCTGATAAAAGATAAATATATTTGATGTTTTTTGTATAGTTTTTTTTAGAACTCTACAATAGTGTTTTTAATTTGTACTGCCGGATATGATGGAAGCAGCCGTTTCAATTGCCGTTTGTGACGAATAATTTATGTTCATATATACATATACATATTAACAAAGTAAATAGTTAAATCGATTATTAAAACGAAGCACGGGATAAAGTATTGTTTGTAAAACTGTAAAAAGTTAAAGTTTCAATGCACTTGGCACTTGCTCTGGTAAAAAAATTGAAAGTGAAAAATAATACTTTTAGATGACTGCATTTTTATTATGTTTTATTTTATTTCTTTATTATTTATTTTATTCTTTTTTTAATATAATATTAAACAAAAAAAACAATATTTATTCATCAATAAGGTTTCTTTAAATATATATCAGCGCCATCTAACGCTTATTATGTAAACTACCTAACGATATCGTTCTATAAAAAGGCACTGTAATGAATTAATTAAACCTTAAAAAGTTTAAATATGTATTGAAAATCAGAAATTTAAACGGAATATTATGTATTTGTAAATATATGTATATAAAATATACATTAATTTATATAGATTAAATGATTTCTTTCCTATTTTTTAGCCTTTGGAATTTTCAACAAGGCCATCTAGTTAAATTAATTAGAACTTCGCAGTACCATTGACATGCATAACTCTATGTAGAGTCATAGTGTTGACATAATATGACGTGGGGTGCTTATAACATTATCTATACATATAATAAATTTCTAACGGAGTCGAATGTGTACATTAAATATTTTTTGGAAAATCTTATTAAAAAGTCATTATTATCTATACATAGACCAAATCTATAGTTTTTAGAATTTTTGTCTGTCTGTCTGTCTGTCTGTGACCGGATCACGAGAAAACCACTGGACAGATTTTGATGAAATTTGGTATGATGATAGCTGGTTATCCGGGTCAACATATAGAATACTTTTTATTGCGGGAAAATATCTCATCTCTGATAAATCTATACTAAGCGTATATAATATAAGTTAACCTTTATATTCAAATAAGCAAAATTATATTGCAAGTCATTGTATATCATACAAGACAATTAAATAATGATGCAACTGAGATATTTTTCTTAAATATCTAATATGTAAGGCTTTATATTTTATATGTTTTTTTATATGTTTTTATACGTAATTAACAGCAGTTGGAGTGCTTATGTACTTAAGGGATATTCTGTTATTTGATTAAAAAAATAATTTACAATATACATATAATTAACATAAATCCATGTCATTTTACTGCGGCTTAAGAAATGCGGTCAGACCTTCATAAACCAGTCTAATTCATGTCATCTAATATCATCAAGATAATTTGATATCGTTTAACACAGTTAGAATTTTATATGTAAAAATACGTTTTAATGTGTAATATAATTAAGTTATCTCAATCAACGCCTTGAAATTTGTTGTTTGCTGAAGAATCAGCTAGATTGTCTTAACTAGAAGAAGAAAAAAGAAGAAGCTTCCTTTATCTCTTTCTTTAACATAACACTAGCAATTTTTCCTTGCTTCACTCGGTTGGTATCTTTAACTATAAATTTTATTACTTTGTTTCAAACCGTTTTAGACAACGCATACTGATAAGCTACTCAATAGCCAGGTATTTTCCGACTTTAATTAAAGTTACTATGATTTCAGATAGTAAACACATTTTTATCGATGCAAGGGCAATGTAACTTCCTATTGAAAAATTATGAAAGAATTTTCAGAATCAGATTAGTTGTTTCACAGACCGCTGAAATCCAAATTTACAAACTTGGCTTTTTTTTGTAGATTGAAATGAGATGAGAGAACATGGTACCTGGTTACTAGCATCGATAGCGTGTGCAAGCACAGCGCGCCACCTAGCGGATGCCTCCGCAGAATCTGCCGCGAGTTGCAGCCGCGCGCCGCCGCCGCGCTGGAGGCGGAAGGCGTGCGGACGCCCACAACGCTCATCTTCTGTTAGCTGGTAGTTGATCAGCATTAATGCTCCCACTGGATGAATGCTCTGTGAGAATAATATACAATTTAATATATACTACTATTATAAATAGGTAAAGTTTGTGAGTTTGTAACGTTGTAGGGTGTAATGTCTGGATCTACTGAACCGATTTTGATGTTTGGTAAGAAGATAGTTTGACCCTGAGAAGGACATAAGATACATTTTATCCCGGAAATCATGCCTTTAGGGGGGTGAAAATGGGAATGAAAGTTTGTTTGGGGAATCAAACTAGTTTAAGGTATAAAACTTGAATAGTCTTTACTGATATCATATAAATCGGAAAATAATTCGAGGTTAATATGACAGTATCTGGGCGATCGAGCTTCGCTCGGCGTTTTGTCGATAAAGATTAGAAATAGCGCTTTTACAGAAAATACATATATATAGATAAACTTAAGAAGCAAAACTTTATCTAAATATAAAATGTATACGATATATATAAAATTTATATGTTAGAGCCATTTCCTACACGAAATTAATTTATACATTTACACATAATATGTACACAAAAATTGCACTTTAATATTATAAGATTGCGCTCTATTAGTATCGCAATTGATTTGATTTTATTTAAAACCAAGTGTAGAGTTGTGTTTCATGATATAGCTCACAGTATTTTATTATCAAAATAATATATTTATTCCTTAAAGAAGATAATTCCAGTTAACAACAGCAGCGAGATGTGATATTATAATTTAACAGTTACGTAATATTTAATCTGTGTTAATATTTACCTTTTCTTTAATAAAATATAATACAGGGGTTTAGTTTGTTTATAACTATCTACTATTGTCAGTATGTATTTAATGTTTTATTGTTTTATAATATAATTTTTATATTATCAAATTAGTCAAATATTTTATCACAGAGTGACAAAGATTAACACTGATACATCAAATAAAATAATCGAGACTACATAATTTTCGTGTCAATACTAAATAAAATTTACTAAAGTTATATCTACGAAGGTGCAATAGTAAGTTTGAACTGTTTTCACTCATCACGTTTCTTATTTCATATTTTTTACATAGCAAAGCACTCGTTAAGCCAAAAAAAGCGCCAAAGCAAGCTTGGTTTTGTGTGCCCGTAACGTAAGGAAAATTTTACATTAATAATTAAATTATTCCTAAAACAGTAACTGTTAAGTTTCTTGACAAAGCTTGTTGTAGTAGAAGCTTTTCGGGCTGAGGGTACCTTCCTCATGAACTTACAATCTTGTTATAAGAATTCAAAGTTCTAAATTTGTATTATATAATATATCTTATTAAAAATCTATTTGAATAAAATATATATTGATTTTGAATTGCCTTCATATCTATAACCATATAACAAATTGCGATAATTTCATTACATTTTGTTAAGGCGTAGACGTGCCAAATGGTTAAAAAAAACTTATTCTTCTTCATTCACAAGGAACAAAACTTACCGAATCCGTTTTATAGTAATATAGGCAGTTATCTCTTTTAAGGACGAACCACCGCCGCGTCCAACGCGGCGGGTGTCCGCGCGCGAGCGCCGCGCGCCACAGGTACCCGGAGTACAGCGCGGCCGGGCCGCCCTCGTGCGCCAGTGAGGCGACCACCTCGCATGTACGTGCCACCTGAAAGTTTCATACATTTATTTATTGAAGTAAAACTTCTTTACTGTATGTGACTTGAGGGGTAAGCTGGTGGATGAGTTACGAAAAAATGTATGTACGTTTGTTGCCATGGTAACCGTTGTTATTGTCTGATATCTATAGGTACATATAATAAAATTGTAACTAGGCCTAAGCCGAATCTGTACATTAAATATTTTTTGGAAAATCTTATTGAAATAAGCATTATTACCGATACAGAGGCCGAATCTACAGTTTTATTTATTTTTTTATTTATTTATTAGCTTTTCAAGGGAAACAAACAGTACAATAAATAATTACATTCTAAAACATATAAAAGTAATGCTAAAAACCAACCAAGTTTCCACAGATTCAAAGTGGTTTTTCTGCGATGCGGTAACAGACAGACAGATAGACATAGAAAAATTCTAAAAACTATAGATTCGGCCTCTATGTCGATAATAATGTCTATTTCAATAAGATTTTCCAAAAAATATTTAATGTACAGATTCGGCTTAGTTACAATTTTATTATACGTATAGATGTAGGAAAACAAGTAAATAATTTTATTTTAACTAAAAACTTACATCCAATTCCAGAATCTCGGAACCAGAATGAGCAATTTTCACAACTTCTGAATGTGTTTTATCTAACACATTGATTCCTGAAAATAAAAGAAAACAAACATATAAATTAGAATTATATAAAAAAAATATAGCTAAGCAGAATATTAAACCAAGTTAGATATTATATTTATATCATTATATATTTTTTACCGACTTCAAAAAAGAAGAAGCTATAAAACTTTTACTGTCATAAGTATTAGAAAAGAAAACAGAACACTAGAGCAGTATAATATTTGGCTTTCAATGCAAATTCCATTATAACTACTAACCTAGTTTCTACCAATGTTCGACGTTCAAGTTAAATTAAAGTTTCAAACTTTATGGTAGATGCATCTTGTTCTACTAACTTTACAAGTTATTATGTCATATTAGTCAATTCTAAAGCAGATATAGGCTTTAGACTTTTTAGTATAGAACTATTGACTTTTAAATATGAATTCAATTGGTATAAAATACACGTTTTATTTAAAAAAATCTGCAAAATCCATTTATTCTATTTTTATCTATACATTTAAAAATCTTGGAAATAAAGCTTTATTTAAAAATTGACGAAAAAATATGCACTAATGCGACGATATGTAAAATCTTATAAGTAACACGATACTTATTGTAAATCATATATAGATACATCACTTTAACGCCGTTATAAATAATCAAAGATAGAATAACCATAATTATGAAAAGGAGTAAAATTGGAATTTAAACGCAATTGAATGAATTTAATGTGGTAATTAAATTTTATGACACTAGCGCACATACGCTGCATATTATTTATATACTACATCTGCTGCAAATATTACACAATAAATCTTGATTTAACTTACCAATGTCATACAAACTAATATATAATATCATATTTTATTATTAATGGGAAAGTTATTCATCCAGTTAATCTTCACGGCTGATCGTGAGTTTATAGATGACAGTAACTTTAAAGATTTAATATTATTCTTTGCTATACTTTGATAAATTAATATTGACTCCCTTAGTTATAAATTGTTTGTTTTAAAACAAATAATATTAGTATTACGCACATATAGAATAGTAAAATATGATAATTCTGTTTTTTTTTTATAATTAAAAGGAACAGTATAAAATATTGCCAAACTAACGGTAAATATCTCCCGAGCTAAGCTGACGAGTAACTAGCAGGTACTCATTACAGACATACAGATAATATTTTTCTCATTCAAACAAATTATTATTATTTTCATCGAAATTTACCACATTTGATTACTAGGTAGTGTCCAAAATATTGTAGGCAGTTTATAAAAAGTATGGTAAACTAGCGGCTCACCCTTGCTTCGCTCGGGTTCGTCCCGAGTAAAGTACGACAAATCTATCCCACGGGAACCGTACATTGTCCGGGATAAAAGTAACCTATGTGCCATTCTAGACTATAATCTATCTCTGTGCCAACTTTCATCCACATCCATTCAGCCGTTCTGGCGTGATCGAGTAACAAACATCCATACATCCAAACTTTCGCATTTATATAGTAGTAAATTACCGTTTACGGCAATAATGATGTCACCAACTTCAAGCCCTGATGACTCTGCCGGAGTATCAGGTTCGATGGCTGACACCACGACTGGCTTGCTCCCGTGTATTCTGAACCCAAACTCTTCATTGCCACGACGGACCACTACCGTTTTGTCGCTTTCTGATCATTAAAATAATATTAACATAAATCATTATTAGGTAATATTAATGTATTAAAGTACTTAAATAAAAGTTAATATTTAGTATGTTTTATACATATATATTTTATATACCTAATAATAACAAAACCTCTTCATTTCTTTAATCAAAAATATCATAACGTAATCTAATTTATCAAATTATTATTTTTTAACATGCAATACACTGTTGTTATTATACTATTGTAACTAAATCACTACAAAAAACTTAATATTTTAACCTGTAAAAGCCCTTTAAATATCAAAAATATATGAAACCTACATATGTATTACATATTTACATTTGCTTATAACTAAAGCAGATATGCAATCGACACACCGTGGTTAATTAAACTTAACTTTCCAATTCTCATTTAATCCTCTACAAAAATTGAAATTAGGCGAAATAAATGAACTAAAGAATGTAAGTATACGAATTAACAGTCCCTGACCCAATATTTGCTTATCTAAGTGGTACACGGGCTTTCACCCGTCCATAAACCGAAATACTAACAGCCCTGACACAAATACAAATAGTCGATATGTGAAAAATACAGGTTGTTTTGACCATATGACTCGCTAAAAGCGTTGGCTCATTTCCAAATATCGTCGACCTAACATTGTTCCATTCAGAAAATGGGCAATACGTTGTTAAAACTTTAATCGACGAGTAATTTGTCCGACGCTCTACATTTCATCTTAAAATAGCACGACGTAAATAGCTGCTAGTATTTAATAATATTTTTATACCTATACGATTGTATTGGCGCATCGTTCTGTTATGAAATTTACGTGCGAAGGTTTTATCATGAATGCTGTAGTATTGATAAGAAATATTTTCTATGGATAAGGAGTAAGATTGAAACAATGGCTTTTTTTTCTCCACTAGTAAGTACTTTGAAGGCCAACCAAAAATTAAATTAAAAAAATAATCATGTATCACATAGAAATTAAAAAAAAATCAAATGGTTACCACAAGGTTCCAAAGCTACAAGTTTATTTGCTTGCGTTTGTCGACACCATAGTACCAGCATCAATTTAAATATTTCTTCTAACTTCTGTCTTATATTCCCAGCAGGAGGATTGGAACTCAGACTAACTAAAAAAAAAACAGGAAATGTACTAATTATTCCCATAAAATGTAAAAATAATTCATGTTAGGTAAAATAACAGGACTTACAGCTGTGCCGCATTTTCCAAATTCCAAACGCACGATCTTGAACTTTGATGTAACACTTCAACTATTCCACTATAATTACAAAACTCGCATACACAGTTAAATACGTCTCATAAACACGATCACATAAGCCAAATCTCGACGTCAAATCGATAGAATAAAGTATCAGAAGCGGACGTGAGAGTATCGTCTAGCCGCAGTCGCGTGTCTGCAACAACTAAGAAATGACGTACGGCGCCTATGTAAAATTAAATTTAGTATTTAGATCGGTCAGTAACAGATGCTTTTTATCCGTATAATTTTTTATATGAACCAATTTTATATATGTGACTCACATTAAACTCTTATTAACTAAAATAGACTCCTCGATGTCGTCGATGACTTTGCTCACGCTTTTATAATTTAGTAGCAAAAATGTCAATGGTATGTTTGCGTAATAGAACAATAAACCACGTGCCAATATGTTAGAAGTTACAAAAATTCGGGGGCTACTCTCAAAATATAAGTGATGCTATTTAAATAATGAGAGGCAGAAATAGACTTCGCGTTACGTAGAAGTAAATCGGTTAACTCAAGCAGCGTTACCGAATATGACGTAACTGTCGACGCTCATATGATTTTCAATAATAACAATACAAACTAAATTTTATAAATTAGTTTTATATTGTATTTGTTACAAATGTTTGAGAAAAATATGATAAAATTGATATTATACCTTAGTTTTAAATTTTTATTCAAAATAACAAATAATAACAGAAAATTCGTTTACGACCCAACGAGTAGGTACGAGTACACAGATAAAGAGGTTGGTGATGCGATGGTGACACCGGACTTAAATAATGAAATTTCCGATGATGAATTTTTTGACGTAGATCCACCTGATGTGCATGAACCAGTCGGTAATACGCAATCTCAGGATAATCGACGTTATCCAATTAGAACAAGTAGAAAAACTATAAATTATAAGGAGTAGCCTTATTTAATTATTTAATTTACATCTTAATTAGTGTTGGAGGAATGTAATATATGTGTTCGAATATAGAACACTTCAATATTTTGAGTTGTCAATATTGATTTAGAAATAAAAAGGGATTTGAAAGCAAATGGATTTTTACTAAAATTATCATAATTAACGAGTACCTAATAAATATCTATGTTTAAAATAATTTAATTTTTAATACCAATAAAATATAATGACGAAGAAGTAATACACAATTTACGTTTTAAATAAATATTTTTATCGATATTACTACTCGTATCTAGAAAAAAGTTAAAGAATGCAAAATTAATAAAAAAAATATGCAACAAAATTTATTCTCAATACATCTAAAAATGCAAGAGAATTGAAGAATGAAAAATTCACTTTGTTTATTAAGATCCAATCTTTCATTAAGTATCTTCTAAAATTACCATTTCATGAAGAATTTACCAAAATATAAAATTACAAATACGATTTTCATATTAAAATAAAAACAATTATAATATAACTAACTAGCGACTCACCCTCGCTCCGCTCGGGTTCATCCCTTGCTTGATTCCCAATATTTTCATTCCCATTTTCACCCAACGAATGATTTCCGGGATAAAAAGTATCCTACTTCCTTCCCAGGGGTATCTTCTTACTAAAGTTCATCTAAATCCGTTCAGTAGATCCAGAGATTACATTACAAACTAACAAACTTTATCTCTTTATAATATTAGTATAGATAATAAATAATAGTTTCTTACCAAAACTATTATCGGCCTGCCGTTTATTCAGTTCGATGCAGGCGCGGCGATGCACGAGGCGGTGCGTGAGCGCGACGTACCGCTTGTTGAATTCTGTTTCAGATTCCGTTGGGTCTTCCTGCTCTACTGTATCTATTTTATCTAATGGCATAGAAAATATAGTATATTAATGTGACAGAGCTTTATCAAGCTTTCGCCATAACGTAGTAATACTCATTCAGGTAATTCGTGTTTGTTTGTACATTTGTTTGTACAGTCGTTTTTTTTAAGTTTTTTTACTATGACCATTTTGGAACTAGTAAATAAAAGAAGGTAGTTTGTGGTGAGAAGATATATATATATATATATATATATATATATAGAAAAGCTTTTAGATACAATAAATAAATTAGGTATACAAACATTTAAATAATTTTTGTCCTTCTATTAGTAGGCTACCAGAAAAATGAGTAGCATAAGTTTCTTGGATAAAAACTTGCAAATCAACAAAGTTGTTAAGAAATCAAACAAAATATCCATAAATACAAGCACACCTGGTGGTATTCTAGTCCAATTGTCATCGTTTTCAGACAGCAGTATCCAGTTGCCACACCACCACGGCGTCGCATACACGCCTTTTTCGTCTTCTGCATCAGAACTTCCAGAAAAATCTTCGTGCTCTGTTGGAAAATTCCATTTAAAGAACTAAATTATTTCAAATGTTTAGTGCGAAACATGATCGTTATATTAACTTCGCCTGTGATTTGAAGAATACTATAAGTTAACTTTGAATAATAGCTAAAATATTTTGGCAGGCGTACGTACTTATTGTAATTGTGTATTGTATTCAGCCCTTTTTAACGTCCCACTGCTGGGCACGGGCCTCCCTACAATACGAGGGGGATCAGGCCATAGTCCACCACGCTGGCTAAGTGCGGGTTGGCGGGCTTCACATGTCTTTTGAAAACTTGCTAGGTTCTCTTCAGACATGCAGGTTTCCTCACGATGTTTTCCTTCACCGTTAAGACAAGTGGTAATCATGTTAGAAATGATTCGCACATGAAAATATCAGAGGTGCGAGACCCGGGATTTGAACTCGCTTCACTCGGTTTCCCAAGCGAGCGCGTTACCACTGGGCTACCACTGCCGGTAATTACCAAGCGCTAAATATAATATTATTTTTATTATAAAATACTACTCATTAAAACTTTCTAGTCATACGCGTGTATTTTTTTAAGATAGTTTTAGAATATTTAGACATTTTTAACTTTAAAGACAATTTATTTTAGAAAATATTTCCTACTCATGTAAATTTAACATATTTGTAAATTTAATTTTAAATATAAAAACTATAGACTTTTTATTGTTTTTTACTTTAAAAAAACATTACATTGGAAGATTTTGGTATAGTTAAATTAAATTTATTTGAGTAAAGTATCCTTTTTATAGTTTTATTGGTAGATAGAATGGATGTATATATAATTCCTTACCATCTGGGTCGACCCCAGCATCAGCTATGTCAAGGTTGTCGAGGGAGTTTCCGGCCGAACGTGCTATACGTGTATCTTGCGGCTTTTCAATGCCTGCGTACTCTTCTTTACCTCTTTCTTCTGACTATATATCAAAGAAATAGAGTTATTAAATAACACTATCTTTTCGGATTATTTCGCGGATTTATTTTGATTTTTGGTTCCCGACGTTTCGAATGCTTTACAGCATCCATGGTCACGGGAGAGACTGAGGTGTTACATGTCTTAAAGATATAGTTGTTACAGACAGCCTACCCACAATCTTATTAATATATACTTTTACAAATGAAATAGTGTTGCTTAGTAAGTTGTTTTTAAATAATAGCAAACTAAATTAAAATTATAATCCTTAATTAATTTTAACTTTTTAAATTACACATTGAACAATTATATGGCTTAAATAATTAATACTATATTTTATATTTTTCTTTATGGTTATAAATATAATAATGGCAACACTAAATATAGATTACTAATTAATATTTTTAAAATTGTAATAATTATAAAAATAATAGCAAAAATTAAATAAATAATTTTCTATATTCAATTATAATTAAAATTATAAAAATGTTTAAAGTTAAAATATTGTAATGTAATTGGTGCAATTTTCATTTTGTTAATTGTGGGTAGGCTGTCTGTAACAACTATATCTTTAAGACATGTAACACCTCAGTCTCTCCCGTGACCATGGATGCTGTAAAGCATTCGAAACGTCGGGAACCAAAAATCAAAATAATCCGAAAAGATAGTTTTATTTAATAATGTCAAACATTCGCGTAAATCTAAGAAAGTATTATGTGAAATAGAGTTAATTAAGAAAGAACATTAAAAGTGTGCCAAAATACAAAATAAAACATAAGAAATAACGTGTATTTAGCAATATTTTTTAACACAATTATCTATACTAATATAAAAAGAAGTAAAGTTTGTGAGTTTGTGAGGTTGTAGGAGGTAATCTCTGGATCTACTGAACCGATTTAGATGAAATTTTGTATTAGGACAGTTTGAGGCTCTGGGAAGGACATAGGATCTTTACGATCGATACTTTTTATCCCGGAAATCATCCCTTAAGGGGGTGAAAATGGGGATGAAAGTTTGTATTGGGAAGCAAGCCAGGGACGAACACGAGCGAAGCGAGGGTGAGTCGCTAGTATTTAAGAAATAAAAGCAAGATATATACAATGAGAGTTTCCGCATATTTTAGTAATCTTTTGTTTTTAGTTTTTTATTCTTTCTTACCTTCGCTCGAACATCTTGCCGAGTACGATAATGATGCCTCGATTTATCTTCAGAACGATATCTTTTATCTAATTTCTTGTATAATCTTACTCCGCTTGTGTGTTTTTTAGAGATACTACCCAATGGAGAATCAGCAAAGCCTGCTGGTGCAGGAACGATATCTGGCGTTGCATCTACATAGGATTCCTTAAAAGTTAAAATAAATATTAGAGAGATACTTATTAATTTGTTTATATTTCAGTTTTGATCATCGATGTAAATAATAATGATAATAATTATAATAATTAATCAATCATATTACAATATTAAAATATTTTTAATCCTACACCTTATTGTTCACCTTTTAAGCAGTAACGCAAATATTTGCACGTACAAACTCTGTTTTAATTTGACTACTTTTGCAACTTTGCTTAGGCATTAAAACAAGGCAATCAATAATAACTCTTAACAAACACAACTACGGAACAATATCAAAAAAATAAAGAGGTATTTATAAGAATTAAATCCTGTATTTTCATTATATTTTTCTTTCAATACTCACATCAGTATGAGTGGAAGTTCTAGATACCCTATCGGGATCATTCTGCGCAGTAACAATATGCACCTCCTTGCCACAGTGTAAGCAGTGCGCCTTCGCTTCACATTCCCCCGCCAGATGCTCTGTGTGCTCTGAGTAGAACACCGAATCAGATCCTGGAGATACGGAGCGTAAGGACTCTGCTGATGCCGCTGTGAATTTACCATCTATCGGGAAAAGTTCGATTATTGAAATAAAGCTTTTACAAAGAAAAAGCTCTATTTTAAACAACGTAGATTCTAATTTAATTACAAACCAAAATCAATAAGCTCTTGTTCAAAATATTACCGTAATTGATTATTAGTGAACAAAAAATATCATAAAAAGTAATAAATATTGTTTTCGACCAATTCTTTAACGCTATGTAGGTATTATACGAGACGAGATTTTTTTAGTAATTTAGGTATATAATAATATAAAAATCTAAAGATAAATAATGCTGTCTAAGCTTAAAGCTATAATTTATAGCTTAATATTACAATTTCTTTAAGACAATAGTAAACAGTACGTATAAATTTCTATTAAAAATGCACTAACCCTTTTCTGGTTTTTTATGTCTTGGTGATGTAGTTGGGCTTTTTGCGTATCGTAGTGGAGTTAGCCTCGATCCTGCACTATTTAATGTTCTAGCAGTTTCAATATCTTCAGCTTCCAACGAACTGAGGCAAGGAACAGTTGGTATCGATTGCTTCCTTCGAGGCAGACTACCCGGTAATGATATGCTTTCATTTGAACCACTTTTTCGTCGTGGTCTACAACTGTCACATGTTTTAAGATATAGGTTATTGTAAGTTATATCAGAAAATAACAAAAATTTGTTTTTCGTAATTTGAATCTAAATAGCAAAAATATTCAAGATTTTCAGCATTTAAAATATGACACATTTAATTGATTTAACTAATTTACTTAAGTTGTTATTTTTTTTACAAAATGAATGGGTTATATTTCCGACTAGAAAAATACTATTTCATAAATCTAATAATGCAGTTTTCGTTTTTATTAATATCAGGTTTGAATACCGCGCATATTTTTCGCCATGCTTTATAGTATCAAATTTTGCCATTCATGACCACATCACACTTTACTAGTGCAAAATAAAATACTAAAATTTACCACGATTCAACACAAAATTATTATCACGCAACAAGCGCAAATTATACGAAAAAGAATCTAAGTTTAGTGCAAACTGTATCCCAAATAGTCAGCGTCCCTGGTTAGAGTTGAAAAAACAAGTACCAAGTTCCGTAAAGGTTTCTTAAATTGAAAGTATAGGAAATTGAGATGGTCTTAAAGTGGTTTAAAATAAAATTTGTTACGCTTTTTGTGTTTTAGTTGACAACTTGGTATGTTTTATATTATGTGATGTTTTTTATAGTAACAAGTAAGAAAATTACATGGAAATGATAATAATTTTTTTTTCTAACCTATATCCAGTGTGATTATTCGTAGTAGGTGATTTGGTAGAGTTTGAATTATTAGTGGTCTTTCTTCTCGGACTGTCTCGCAATCGTCTGTATTTCCTTGGAGAAACGTTTCCATTTCCGACACCTAAAATAAAATAAATAAAATAATACAAATTATGTTATTCCATAAAAATAATTGTAAATAACTTATTACAATTAAAATGTATTTTGCACCTAAAAGAAAATATTTTTCGAAACTATTTTATGGTATGTATATACTATAGAATAGACTCAAAAAATATCACGTTTTATAGGAAGCAAATAATAAATAAATGTTTACTCTAGACTTTCAATATTACCTTCTTTCCTATACTGTTCACTAGAATCATCTGAAGTCGGAATATTTAAATGCAGTTTAACATTCGATCTGTAACTACCATCCATTGCTTTACTTTGTGTAGGACTTTTAGCTTTAAGCTTAGTTCTTTTCACATATCTTTCCCTCTCAATTGGTCTCTTATTATCATTTTCTTTTTCCTTCATTGTTTTTTCTTTGATCGTCTTTTCTATATCTACTGGTTCTCTTGGAGAAGATTGAATACTTTTTGTTTTCTCAACAAAGTGTGTTTTCTTTTTTCTAATCTCAGGTATTTTTTCTTCTAAGGGTGACTTAGTTTTAGTTGTATTTCTATCTGAACGGGGATTATTGTCAAATTCTTTTGTTTTTTTACCCCAATCATCTTGTGAAGTAGAAATAGATTCGTCATATGATTTAGAAAATTCTAAAGTGAAAGCTTTCTTTTTTCGCCTCTTCTCTTCTGATATCCAAGCTTTTGGTCTGCCTGCTGATCTATACTTTTGACTGTGTTTGTACGCTGAAAATGAACATAATTATTAGAATCATCAATTATATTAAGTACGAGTAAACCACAGTATAATCTTACTTAGACCTCCATCATCGTCGTCGTCGTTAGGACTTTCATAATACCCAGATGAAGAATAGTGAGCGCTTCTCTCGTCATCGGATAAGGAACCCTGTATAGAAAAAGGCGTATGTATATTTTTTTATTGTACAAACCAATATAGTAGAAGACAAAAAAAACTTACCACCATCTTAGGTATAAGTTGCTCTTTTTTGTTTTCAACGACTTTTTTATCTTCTTTATGTCTTATTTCTTGCTTTGCTACTTTTTCTGGTAGTTCTTTTATTTTATCAATTGTAATTTTATCTGTTGATTCAGTCATATTTGGATTTGATCCACCTACGCTGTAACTGCCGCTTGAACTACTTTTTCCACTTATTCCTTCTCGAGATCCTGTACTCTATGAGAATATAAAAATATTTAAAGTTAATATCAAACTTCTAGACAAACATTTAAATTTTCAAATTATACAATAAATTATTTAAGTTTTTTTGTTTAAATTACCATGAGATTTTTGGAGTTATTTTTAAATATTTAATGATATTTTTCTACATATATTGAAATTATAGCGTTGAATTTATACAAAAATATATAAAAAATAAGCTTACTGATTTAGTAGGTACATCATCTTTTATTTTCACAATTTCAGTCTTAGTTCTTCTATTTTCCATTGGAGTTATATCAGCTTTTACTTCAAATCGTTCAACTGATGGTTTTTGTATTCTTTCAGGTAATGGTAATGGAGGGGATGATAAATTAGGAACTATAAAATCTTCTCTAATTTCTAAAGGTGGCGAAAAACTTGGCACTATAAGGTCTTCAGCAACATTATCAGTTTTAGTTGAGGAATATAAACTTGATGCACTCTCAAATGATGATCCCTCTTGTGCCTTGTTATTACTTTCAGAATCTGCAAATACGAAATATAATCCATAATAACTTTTTCTTTATCAAATTAATGTTTTATTTTTATGAAACTTATTTACGTAAAATGCTTAAATAAGCGCATCAGATGTACTTCTGCAATGACACAAATATAAAACGTTTGTTTATTAAAATAATTGCACTGTGGAATTAAACTGGCGGTCGCAATATAAATAAACATTTACTCACTATGATTTTGATTTTTACTATTACTTTTCTTTGAACTATCGGAGTTTGCTGTCACATAATCCTCTGTAGTAGTTGTACTTTCAGAGACATCAGTCGTATTAATTTTGCCTGAATCAGTTCGAGCAAGACTTGTCTCACTACTAGCCGCTTTTGGCAGCGTTTGATCTGTAGGAGTAGTTGCTACTTGGTTTGGAATCGTTCCATTTGGTTCCTTTTGTTGCGCTTTTTTTTGTAATTCTTGTCGCCTTGAAGGACTTAATGCTCTCTCTCGTTTTTTATTAATGAAACTGGGTGTTCTTTTAAAGGGTACATCTGACAGGTCTAAACTTGGATGGGTTATTGCTATAGCAGGTGTATGATTTGGTTTTATCTGTGAGGGTGGGAGAGCTTTAGATATGGTCGGTTGTTTTGTAATTGGAAGTGTTATGTTGGGAACAACAGCGGGTGGTGATAGAGATTGTCGTGTTTGTTGAGAATTGGAACTAGATGTGTCTAATTTGTTACGCGGAGAAGTTGGTGATTGACTCTGAAATTAAATTATTTACTTTAAATAATATACATATACCTTATCAAGGTTGATCAGTATTATATGGCAGAGTACCCATATTAATAATGTTAATTATAGAATATTAGACGTAAGAACCATAATCAAAGATTATTGCCCTGATTAATTCAAGTTTGTTCAATTAATGGTAAATTTTCGAGAAAATTAACCATTAATTTATATTACCTATACTAATATTCTATTATATTAATAATAGAAATTTTCAAATTTTTAGACATTACTTGTGAAGTGGATGGCGCATTATGTAATCTTCTTATATATATTTCACACATTTTAATTTTTAAATTAAATGTATTCTAGTTAGTCTTCCTTAGGTCTAAATATTATTTTTTACCTGAGAAGCGTCAAACTCTTCATCTAAAGCGTCTGTATCTAAAGATGATCGTTGTTGATGTTGTAATAACAATAACTGTTTTCTTCGTGATGTTGGAGTTAATAACGCCAATGCTCCGGGAGACGTCGCTAAAGAACTTAGATCTGACGAACTAAAAAAACACAATTAGTTTGTTTCCTTTAAGTAATTCCATTAATAAATACTTTTTGTCGTAATAATATTATAATAACAAAAAATACCATATTATATTATATGTATTATATATTTTAAAACCAACCTTATTACGGTCCCATTATCTGTACCAGAATCTACTTGTAATACTGTTGTTTGTGATTCATTCCACATACCATCTGAATGATCCCTAAAATTGAAATACTCCCTTTATATTCATGTATTACAATTAAAAACTAAAGCGTGTCGCTGAAATACTGTTGCCGATTGCCGAACATATTCCGTAAAAAATTTCAGATACAACATACTCTTTAATATTTTAATTTGTATGAATGAACATAATTGATATGATTGAACAGCACATGCTAATAATATATATTTTACCACGTGTACACTAACCTGCTATGGTCTACAGTAAGTGATTCACTCGAGGCGCAAGGTGAAGACTTCTCTAGGGGTGCCAGTATTGTTGTTATATTGTTTGATATGATCGCCCGTTTGGTCTTTTGTTCTACATCTATATCACAACTCACCGGATCTGGTGATGCAGGACTAGATTTAGCCGTACTGAAAATTTATTATATATTGCTGGTATCATTTTCTTACGAACTCTTCTACGAAGAAACAATTGAACGGATTTTGATAAAACTTTACAGTAGTATAGTTTATACATCAGAGTACACATTTATAAAAATATAGTAAGTAATATGTGTATAATTCTACTACGCGAACGGAGTCGCGGGAATAAGTAGTACAAAATATGTCAAAAATAATTAGTTACTTAAAGTCAGAAATGCTGTAAAATTTTAATTTCTGTAAACAAATCAATGATATATATAAGTAAGTAAGAATATATGTAAGTCTAGCCTAAGTGGACGAAGCTTGACAGCTGTTTTTAAAGTATACTTTACTATAATAATTCTACTAAAGCTATAGGTAAAAATAGTATAAGATAAGTGTAATATTATTGAAATTAATATAAATTTATAAAGTGGTATAATTTTAGAAGATAATTAAGTTATCTAATTTAAAATACCTACCCGTCCAAAGGAATGTCTGCGTTAACTCGTTCAGTTTTTTCCTCAAAGCTAACACTCCGAATTCTAAATGGTTCATGCTTGTAACTAATGTATTTTTCGTGAAAATCTTCGTATGGAGCATTACCATCTGAAGAACTACGAAGAGAATTTATGAATGAGTGAAAGCGAAAGCAATAATTTGAAGATATATGAAAAATAGATACTTCGTCATTTCATCTATAAAAACTGTTTACCACAAAATAACAATTTTATTGCTAATTTTATAATTCAGAATTAAAATTGCCAATAGATAGTTATAAGTTTTTGTCACATAACTAAGTAATAAAGAGAAAATCATGATTGCCTTACCTTGAATTATACTAGTTTTAAACAAAAATTTTAACTATACTAATCAAATTTTAGTATAATAAAATATTTTAATGTACAGACTAAATTTTAAATATATACCTAACAGAAAAGATAAGAGCGACAATGTTTTTTTGCAGAAGCTTAGATCCGGTCAGTGGGCGATGATTTATATGAAGGTGCTGCTAAAACTAATTGCATTATATATTGTCTACTTTTAGAAACGTGAATAAGCTGATATAACAGAAACTTTCGTTTCAAGGCCTTTTTTACTGTGTTAGGATAAAAATATGTTCTTAAAATATTAAGGACAGCATTTGTCATCATAAATGTACTTCTATCTAATCCATGAAAGAGAAATGATCAACCGTAATATTGTATAACTTGGCATAATAATATATATATATATATATATATACGCATTATATATATATATATATATATTACCAAACAATAATAAATATATAGACGTTTAATGGATTATTAATATATTGAAATTACAATGAAAAAGATGACTAAATCAAAACTTTTCTGTACGGGCAAATCAAAATGTGAGGCAGAATACGTTATCAACTTATTCACGTTTATTATTAATAAAATGTTTACCTAAAAGAACCATCTGGTTCAAATCCAAAAATCCCTTCATCTTTTATAGGTGTTTGATTATAATTTTGAGTGATATATTGTCGATATATCGCTTCTCTTTCCCTATCTTCTTTATTCATATTTTCTTGACTTGTCGACATGACTATAGGAGCGTCTTTCACTCCTTCACCGCCAGTGGAGATTTCCGTTTTTCTCCTAGTGAGAATACGAAGTTTTATACATATATCCATATCAATATTTTATTGTAATACAATAAAATTAATAAGCTCTTTTTAATTCCCTATTACAGTCATTTTAATTATAATTCTGTTTTGAATCATAAGCTATTATTATGCAATATAGACAGATTTCATCATAGCAAATATGACAAGTTAATGTAACTAATGTAAAAGTTATACTTACGCATCTAACAATATTTCGCCTTCAGACATCGTTTTATGTAAAATTCTCTTATTTTTTCGTCTCAATGTAGTAAATGGTATCGCTTCATCGTCAGGTCTGGGTTCGAAGTCTATAATTATTTCTTTCTCATTCTTTTCACTATCATCAGTTGTAGTGGCGGATGTTTCAGTTGATGGCTCTGATTGAAATGTTGATGTTTTTGATAAGTGATGTGAGTTTATTGTCTTCTGTGATGCGTCACTTGTACTTTTTGATAGTATCGATCGCAATGATTTGTCTCCTTTGGCTTGCTTAGCTATTTCTTGCTGTAAATATTCTAAATTTCTTCGATTTAATGCCATACTTTTTTCTAATGTTTCTATGTCATCATCTATAGTGTCATCTCGATCGCTTTCATGTATGAATTGAAAATTTTGTTGAAAATATTCTTGCGCTTGTTTTTGGTATGTGCTAAGATCCGATTTGTCTACTTGTGACGATGCAATAGATTTTACTGACGATGACGTGACATCATCAGAATCTCCTCTCATGAGAGGTGAAGATGGCATCATTGATGTAGGTGATCTAGGTGATCTAGGAGGTTCCTCTGATTGGGTTCTATGAAGTTTTTCATGATCCGCCCCAACTATGCTATAAATTAAAATAAAAGTAATTTTTGGTTAATTCGCATTACGTCTAGAATACTTAGATAACCTACCTAAGCTGTAGATAGAGTAAAATGTATAACAGATGATGGAATACAAATACTTTAACCGTTAACTTTTTAATATTGCATAATACTTTTGTGTTTCATATTCTTTGATTATTTCATATAATACCAAAATATATTAATAATTGATGGTAAAAACCAAATTAGCTCAATAGAAAACTTGAAAAAGTACCTTTCAATAGCTACAGTGACCTCATTCTGTTCCCTTCCTGATAAGCGATCTCCTCCTACTTCGGAGAAAGATTTGGTTAATCGTCTTACACCTACTGTATATCCATTTGTTTGAACTCCTGCAGCTACCATTTTGACCTTAAAACAAAATCAATTCTTTAAGAAATATAACCCATATTAGATAAGCTTTAAAAATTATAAAAATTAAAAGCTTCTTAAAAATAATAGTCAACAATAACTTAAACTTTTTTTTATAATCGAGTCGAAGACATTAGACTTTAACATAGATATTAGTTGTTTTTTTTTTAAATTACTATAATGTATATAGCCTTAGGTTTATCTATTTCAGGAAATTATTATTTACTTTAAACTTTTCTTACACATATTACATGTTAGTAAAGTAAGTAAAGATTTTATTGGGCTTTAAAAGTTCTTATTACCCTTTTGATTGTACGTGGACTTAGTGACAGATAGTTGGGTGGATGTGGTTTCCTTCCTAAACAAACTTCAGTCTGGGTGGCTTGTGTTCTCATAACTCCTTTTTTAATTGAATCTGAAAGGACACAGTTTTAGCAGTTTATATAAAAAATATATAAAATTCGGAAAAGGTAGTAATTTTGAAACATTTTTTTAAAAAAAAAGTTTAAGACCTTTATATAAAATTAAACCAATAAAATACCAAATACAATGTCAAATGATGATTTTTAAATATATATTACTAAGTTCTGTACAATAATGTATAAAAGAAGATAATAATATACCTAAAACAACGACTTTTGGTCCTTCAGTCTGTGTGGGACGTGGCATTGGCATGGAGTGTGCTGGCAATGGTGTTATTGGCGGGTAGTGTATAGGCGCAGGCGCTTGAGCCATATATTGAGGATACGGCGGGAACGGTTGAAACATGACCGGTAACGTTGAGTAAGGCTTATTTTCTGGCTGTTTGACAAATAAATGAACAATAAGTAATAATTAATATTTGCAACACAGTTCATACCTTTGCAGCTTCACAAAAGTTGTAAATAAATAAATTTTAATTAATTTAATACCATACATTATGTACTTATAGATCATGAGACAAACTATTTAATTTATTTAAACTAACCTTAACTACACGACCGTCTATAAGTCTTTCGCAATCCCTTCTAAACCGGCTGCCGCTTACAGCCGCTGGCATTACGGAGTCATCAAAAGTGGTTAATGTATGGGATCTAGCGAAGGATACGTGTTTTGTCCTGCAAAGATAAAGAAAAGGTTCACTATTAAGATATAGCTTACGTGAGATTGTGATCATAAACAATAAAACATTAGGTATTTTTAAGAACTAAAAGTAATATTGGTTCTCTATGGCAAAGCAATTTATGAGATAAATGTATAAAATCTATTAAAAATTGTAACGCCTATAAATCATTTATCTGAAATTAATACATTGAATAAAATATTATCGATATTTTTTTCACATTTAAAAAAAAATATAATCCAGTGACATAGTCGCATCTTTAGGTATATATTCCATTGTTGGGTGCGGACTTTTCAACGTGGCTGGTCAGTGCAGTTTGGTGGACTTAACATTTTTCAGGTTCTATCAGGCGTGCAGGTTTCCTCAAGGTGTTTTCGGTTATTTTAAAATGATGTCAATAATTAAATTCGCACTTGAAAATCTCACTCGTACAAAATCCGGGGTTTGAACCCGCTTCAGTCTTCACTATCTTCAAAGCGAGTAAACTACCAAAACGCTACCACTGGACTATAACTTGCGGTTTTTATCTAAAACATAGTTCTAACAATATTGCAGAGATATTTCTAAGCTATTTCTATTACCTGTGCGGTGGTATGGTGAGAGGCGGTGGTGGAGGTGGCGGAGGTATCGGAGTGTGGGCGGGGCAGCTATTAAAACACACGCCATTTATTAAGGGTACAGATGGCTATTTGATAATATCGCTCATTTAAAACTATAAAGGTCAAATAAATAAATAAGATATTATTTGTACAATATATGTTATAATGTATATTTATTGTACAAGCTTTTCTTTTAAAGTTTCTCCCATAACCATGTTGGTTGTAAAGCATTCGAAATATCGTTCACTCACTATAGTTTTAAATGAGCAAATTGTGTTACAACTCATTATTATATATTTTGAATATATGTATGTATGTATGTATATATATATAAAGGGTTTGGTGGCATTCATTTTTTATAGGCTTGGTAGGTATTAATCATGATAAAATTTCTTTTGAAACATGAAACTAGTGGTTAGACTTCTTAAATATTGTTTACAATAAATTATAAGATACGTATATTCACTTTCAAAAGAAGTTTTAATCCTAATCTTTACACTATTTTTATGATTAAGAGAGCAAGGATATTTTTGTGCACATAACTAAGGATGGTTAATTGTTTTAGTTTAAATATATATCTGAACTAGCATTGCCCGCGGCTCCGCCCGCGTTCAGACGACCAAAAACCAAATTCTTAAGTTTTACATATTAGTATACTCTTACATTGCAGTTTTAGTTCTTTTTTCTCAGAAATAAGATATTTTCCTGCAGTAAAAAGTATCCTATATGTTGATTCGGATAACCAAATATCACCATACCAAATTTCATCAAAATCCCTCCAGTGTTTTTTCTGTGATGCGGTAACAAACAGACAGACACAGACAAAAATTCTAAAAACTGTAGATTCGGCCTCTGTATCCATAATAATGTTTATTTCAATAAGATTTTCCAAAAAATATTTAATGTACAGATTCGGCTTAGTTACAATTTTATTATATGTATAGATATGAACTGATCTATGGGTATATATGATATAAACATGTCATATAATTTTTTTCCTCCAATTACTGCAAATACTATTAATATTACACTGTAAATAAAATTATATGTATTTTGACGCTCTACTGTGTACTTAGTCATATAATATACAAAATATCTAGGCGACCGAGATTCGCTCGGCTTTTTTCGGAGAAGATAAAAAAATGTGTGTTTTAAGAAAATACACCTATATCTATAGACAAACTTAAAAAGCAAAATCTTATCTAAATACAAAATTTTATCAAAATTGTTAGAGCCGTTTCCGATAATAAACAAAATTTATATATATATATACAAGAATTTCTCATTAAATACTACACGATATTTTAGATATATCAAAAGTGTTTGTAATTATAATTATTATTTTGATACAGGAACAGAACATTTTTTTTATTTTATAGCTAATATTATGAAATTTGGAAAACTCAATACTATGGGAATCTAGCAAGAAAGAAAAAATACTTTATACAAGTTTCAATAGATGGCGCTATATGAATCGATCTACTATTAATGTTAATGTCAAATAAGAAACAATAGGAAATAAATACTAAAACAAGTATTTTCTAAAAAAGTCATAATAAAAAAATCTTAAGCTATTCAAACAAAATAACAAGAATTTAACAATTTTACATATAAATCATGAGTTATGGTTGATAAATAAATAATAAATATTATGAATGATATAAATTTTATAAGTTTTGTGTCCCGATTCAATATGATCATAATCATCTCTACCACTCATTGTTAGATGTCACACACTTTACCTTTACATAAAAAAGTAGTTATACAGTTGCTACCATCCTCGGCACTAATAAAAGTTCGAGATATTCCTTGCACATACGTATTCTTATATTCAGTACTTTTGCAGTATCAACTTAAATTAATAAGAAAAAAAAATTTTCGTAACTACAAAAAATACTCAAGTTCAAAACATTTTTCTCTTACTATAGTTAGTGATACCACATGAAGATTTTTTGAATTTGCCGCGTTTTCTCAGGTCACGCTTTCGTTAGCCAGACTCATGAACGAGTCTCTAATTCGTCCATGGCCAGACTCATGAACGAATTAACCACTTCGTCCATGGCCAGACTATACTGACATCTAAAAACAAATGAATATCCGCGTCCTTTTTATTTTTTTAAATACATTCCTATCGGCCAAAATCACAAATAAATAAATGCTTTATACATAAATCATTACAAATTAATCAAATATATTAAAAAATAATTATTTCCCATTAAAATGCTCAAATATAAAAATGCAATGCACAGTATTTCCAAGATGGACGAAATCTATTATTCAGGTTGCATAATATCACAGAAAATATACCAAAATAGGGCGATAAAACCTTTTCATTTCTTTTCCTATGGAATTAGGCTGATGTCATATGTGATGTTAAACGTGAAACTAAATAAGCTCCAATTAATCAGGACATCAAATCAAATAGCTAATCGTAATTAGTAGTCGTTACCTAAATCGAGTTCTATTGACCAATAGTCATCAAGTTCTCTTGATCAATGGTTCATTGGGAAAATAATTTATTTAACATTTTGAAAAAAAAAATTAAATTACACTTACTTAAGTATTCAAAAATATTTTTTTTATAAGTACGAGTATATATGTACATTGTACATATAGTTTGAAAAACAAAGAACACACGCTATTCTAACCGTAATGTAAAACTGTACAGTAATATTTTTATGTGTATTAATAGATAATTTTAAATCGATATGCAATATCGATATGACAGTAAGCTGAAATTGACTTCATAATTAAGTTAATAAAAGTATGTTAATAACAAACTGGTATTACATAAAATATTAACTAATTCCTAAAACTTCATTTTTCCTAAAAAAAACAAAACCTTATTTTCCGATAATATATGTATAAACTTATTTCGATAGACTTAAATCTCATTTTCAATCAAAATACATAAATTTATTAATTTAAACAATAAATAATATGTTAAAAGCAGACAAAATCATCAACAAGATTTTTTTTCTGTTTTCGTGGCGAGATATCTCAATAGAGTGGTACTATATAACTCAAAGGTAGTGCAGTGTCCTATTTCCATGCCTATTCACAATAGAAGGGATAATTATTCCTTTTGTATCTGAGTTCGTTTTGATTAGAGTAAAATACTTTTTCTTTAGTAGCTCATTCTAATATCAAAGAAGACCATTTCATTGTATTTAGACTACGGTTAATCTGCTGGAGTAACATTTTTTTTTTCATGTAATCACGGTAAGTGGGTTTATTAGATAGATTATATAAAAAATATTAATTAACTCAAATATTTTTAGGTGAAGAGCGGCTTCAGAGTGAAGCACTCAGTCTCTAAGTATCCTTGTACGAAAGCCTATTCTGTAAAATAAAATAAGGTCCATACACCCGTAATATAAATCAAGAGATACTCGTATATATGCAAGTTTAATTTTATAAGAAAGTACAACAAAAATTAATAAGATATATGTATACTCTGGACACTACAACGTGTGTATCTTAATAGCAAATAGCGAGCAAGCATGTAATTGGTTCGACCTCTGACCCCATTTATTACACTGACATATAACATTGCAGTAGATTGCTCAAGTATTTAATTGCTATAATTTTGTTATCTATGATCTTATATATTTCTTTTTTAACAATCATAACCCAGAGGGGTTGTCACTAAAAATTTACTCCACGTGTTTTTTTTTGTGTTTGTGTTGTTTGTCAATATGTTTTATTCTTCGATCAACATAAGTATAGTTGATCGAAGGTTTTATTGCTTAAAAATATATTTCGCCTGGAAAAAAAGTGAGGGATCTACCACATAGATCGGGATCTTGGACTAGGTATATATTTTTCGATAGAATTAAAATTAGCTATTTATCTATAGATTTTGTATGTCATGTCTATCCATAGATCCCACGTGTAATTTTACGCTCATATTCACTGACATTATCTTTTAAATTTATATATAGAAGATATATTTAATAATACCCTGATGACCTTTAAAGGTAAAAGGCTAGTTGAATTTATATATAATATTAAAAAAAATTATTATAAAACAGTGACCATACATTTTTTTTAATACAAGTATTATTTATAGTTTATTTTTTGTACTTTTTCTAAGAATTACTAGATATATATATATATATATATATATATATATATATATATATATATATATATATATATATATATATATATATATATATATATACTAGATATGTATATACTAATAAATTCTAAAATATGTATTATACACATTTTGTACAACTCACGGTATCATTGAAGGCGGCCTAGGTAAAGAGCCTCCTCGGCTAACAGACGCGATTTGGTCCACATTGTAGTTCTGCGGCCAACCCGCGTTATCTTCTATTACCGATCTGGAAAATATTTTAAGTGTTTAAATTATTTGTATGAAGATAACAAGCTGCACAATTTTAATATCTATCGTTCAATGATTTCGTCTGGTTAACCCCTAAATTTTAAATCTGATAGGGTTTATGGATATTAGGGCGTGATTAACCACTAAAAAGGTTTTTTGGGTTATACGTCTAAGGAAGAAAAATAAAAAGCAAGTTTAACGTTTATATGTATTATGTCAAATAATACAAAAATAGAGGCGAAAATTCAAAATAATAATGAGTAAAGTATGAGTGAATATACAAATTATTACATACAGCGCTATGGCATTAATAGCCATTGCGTTGAAAATCGCCGATTCGAATTTCTGGAGAAAAAATATATTAACCATACATAAAACTTAGCATCTTCTTCTTCTCCCTGCCCATTTCCCAATTACTTGGGGTCGGCGCAGTACATCTTCCGTACTGATGATAGGATTTGGCAAAGTTTTACGACCGGCCGCCTGCCTGACGTCAACCCTCCTTGGGAATGCTATTGTCTCTCTTTGTCTGAATGGTATCGCGGAAGTCTTGTAATTATTATGCACTTTCAATTTTGTTGTCTTTTAAAACATTTATTACCATTACTTACATTTATACCATTACTTAAATTTTAATGTTATTTTCGGACATATTTTAAAATAAATTTTGTATACACAACAAATTTTGTTTTGACGTTGTCAATTTTTTTTCTATAATACATAGCATCAAGTTAAATAAATCTAAGGATAATAAAAAATTAGGTAAAATTAAAAATAATAAACACTTAAGTAAAACTCAAATTGTAATAATATAGATCTAACTTTATTACTTAGCTATTACTTTATTTTAATTGGTATAAACCGAGTATTGCTAAAAATCCTTTGCATAAATCGGAATATAATATTTAAACCAAGCGTGAAATTGAATACCTGTGACAGTCTGATTTTTTATCTCCATCGGCAAGTTTAATTTTCCTTTTGAAATTACGCTTGGGAAATCATAGAGAACGAGAATCGTTTAAATTATATACTACTAGCGACTCACCCACGCTTCGCTCGGGTTCGTCCCTAGGTACGTTTTAACGGTTAGTATGAAATACAAATCTTCGAAATTCTCGACTTTTCTGTACTATAATATGCACGTATTATACATATAAACCTTCCTCTTGAATTACTCTATCTTTTAGTGAAAACTGCATTAAATTCCGTTGAGTAGTTTAAAAGATCTCAGCGAACAGACAACGGAAGCGACTTCATTTTATACTATGCGAAGATGAAAGAACTAAAATCAATTTCACGAACTAATATTCGCATTTGTTAACATAATCATTAATAGATTTTTTCACCCTTTGTTATTATACATATTATATGTACTTGTCTTGTATCTTTTTACACGAGAACGGAATAAAATTCGTATTATTGCAACGATAGATGTATAAATTAACGAAAATAGATATAAATTATAGTAATTAAATGTTATTTTAGTATTAATAACATTTATTAAGATTTTGATTTATAGATTGTTAGAAAAATATTCTTAATAAGTAAGGCATGGTGAACTCAGCTGACAATCTTCTATACTTATTATAATTCTTCTGTGAAAATAAGTCTCTCAAACGACGGACCGATTTTGATGTCCTTTTTGTGTGTGTCAAGGGGATCTGGGAATTTTAAATAAAACTATCTTTTCGGATTTTGTCGCGGATTTATTTGGATTTTGTTTCCCGACGTTCGAATGCTTTACAGCATCCATGGTCACGGGAGAGACTGAGGTGTTACATGTCTTGAATGTATAGTTGTTACAGACAGCCTACCCACAATTAACAAAATGAAAATTGCACCAATTACATTACAATATTTTTAACTTTAAACATTTTTATAATTTTAATTATAATTGAATATGGAAAATTATTATTTAATTTTGCTATTATTTTTATAATTATTACAATTTTAAAATATTAATTAGTATATTTAGTGTTGCCATTATTATGTTATAACCATAAAGAAAAATATAAAATGTAGTATTAATTATTAAAGCCATATAATTGTTCTATGTGTAATTTAAAAATTAAAATTAATTAAGGATAATTTTAATTTAGTTTGCTATTATTTAAAAAACAACTTACTAAGCAACACTATTAATATATACTTTTACAAATGAAAAATGAAAAATATTAGTCTGATAAGCTGTCATTTTGATCTACACAGTATGAACTTACTACATCTGCCTGTGTTATGTTTTATTATTTGATTTTTAATTAATAACAGGATCCCATGACGATGGTAGTACCCAGCCATCTTCCCTATTGAAATTTGGATGTTTTTTAATTTCTATGGCTTCTCGAATCATTCTAGGGCGATATCGGCTAATAATTTCAATAGGGAAGATGGCTGGGTACTACCATCGTCATGGGATCCTGTTATTAATATAATAAAATCAAATAATAAATATAAACATAACAGACAGGCAGATGTAGTAAGTTCATACTGTGTAGATCAAAATGACAGCTTATCAGACTAATATTTTTCATTTTTCATTTGTAAAAGTAATTAATAGTGTTGCTTAGTAAGTTGTTTTTAAATAATAGCAAACTAAATTAAAATTATTATCCTTAATTAATTTTAACTTTTTAAATTACACATAGAACAATTATATGGCTTTAATAATTAATACTACATTTATATTTTTGGTTATAAATATAATAATGGCAACACTAAATATAGATTACTAATTAATATTTTAAAATTGTAATAATTATAAAAAATAATAGCAAAATTAAATAAATAATTTTCCATATTCAATTATAATTAAAATTATAAAATGTTTAAAGTTAAAAAATATTGTAATGTAATTGGTGCAATTTTCATTTTGTTAACGTGGGTAGGCTGTCTGTAACAACTATACATTCAAGACATGTAACACCTCAGTCTCTGTGACCATGGATGACTGAACTTCGAAACGTCGGGAAACAAAAATCCAAATAAATCCGCGACAAAATCCGAAAAGATAGTTTTATTTAAAATGTCAAATATTCGCGTAAATCTAAGAGAGGATCTGGGAATGGTTTAGATTCACAATTTGAATAATAATTTTCATCAAAAAAATTATTGAAAAAAGTTTGAAATTTTCAAATTAAAGACGTGTAGACAGGACAACGTCTGTCGGGTCCGCTAGTGATATTATGTAATTTTTAAGACCTCATCTGCAAATCCATAATTATGTTTTTTTTTTCAAGTCAATTCATGCTAAGCGTAGCAATATCTAGAGCTTATGGCCTTTATTCCATTAATTTTCTATACCACCTCTATTCTACAATGTCAGCCGATTGATTTATTCATGATAGATGATAAAAATATTTTACTATGGTAGTATCTCTATGCAGTGAACATAATATTTGAATTGGTCAATACATATAATAAAATTGTAACCAAGCCGAATCTGTACATTAAATATTTTTTGGAAAATTTTATTAAAATAAACATTACTATCGATACAGAGGCCAAATCTATAGCTTTTAGAACTTTTGTTTTTCTGTCTGTTTGTTACCGCATCACAGAAAAACCACTGGAGGGATTTTGATGTTTGATATGGTGATAGCTGGTTATCCGGATCAACATATAGGATACTTTTTACCACGTCAAAATGTCTCATTTCTGAGAAAAAATACAAAAACTGCAATGTAAGAATACACTAATATGTAAAACCTAAGAATATGTGGTTTTTGGTCATCTGAACGCGGGCGAAGCCGCGGGCCATGCTTATTATATAATTTTGTGTCATTACATTGATAACAATATGAAAATTAGGATAAAAATCTTTGTAGCCTAATAAATTAATGCATATTCAAGGTACTAAGCTAACTTCAAAGTAAGCTGCTTCTGAATATCAATTTTTATTGATTTTGCCTTTACTTTACGTTAAAACTTAATAATGGATGTTCAAAAAACAATTAAGACTGGTAGCGTTATTTTAAACAAAGTCTATCTTCATTACTATGTAAATTTCTAAAGTTATATTAAACGTTTTACTTTGAAGTTGATTGCTTCTAGGATTCTTGTATGAAAATAATTCAATGAACCAGACATACCTATATTTATTTAATTACTAACATTGCCCGCGGCTCCGCTCGCGTTCAGGTGACAAAGAACCAAATTCTTAGGTTTTACATATTAGTAAACTCTTACATTGCAGTTTTTGTATTTGTTTCTCAGAAACGAGACATTTTCCCGCAGTAAAAAGTATCCTATATGTTGACCCGGATAAACAGCTATCATCATACAAAATTTCATCAAAATCCCTCAAGTGGTTTTTCCGTAATGCGGTAACAGAAAGACAGACTAAAATTCTAAAAACTATAGATTCGGCCTCTGTATCGATAATAATGTCTATTTCAATAAGAATTTCCAAAAAAAATTTAATGTACAGATTCGGCTTAGTTACAATTTTATTATATGTATAGATTATATTAATTAAAATGCATAAACGTAACTATTTTACTAACATGTGATTAAAATTTAAATAATATACAAAAATTGAAGCTTACATCACTCACATTTTTACCTAATATTATAAAATAGCAAACGCTCGACACGGACTAATGTTCGTGTTAGTGTATAACGTAAAATTATTTTCCACACTAAAATATACGTACAATTTTCATAGTGATCCATTAAACAGTGAAAAAATTGTGGAGAGTTACAGCAAAATTAATAGCACTAGGTGTCCACAAAATTAGTAGCCTAGATGTCAAAATTTGACAAAAATTATTCGTAATTTGAGGAAAATATATATGAATAGAATTTAGCCATTCATATAAAAAATGAACTGTTTCCAAAAAAATCTTATTCATAATACTTAAATACGCCAAAAGCTACTTAAAAAAATAGAAAATCGGTTGCCAAAAAGAAAAAAAAAATAGGCAACTATTTATATAATATAAACTTTCTCCACGCAACAACACTTAAAAGTGTTTAAATTTTAAAGCTAAAGGTAAAAAAAATAAGAAATTTGTTATTTTGCACAACTGAATATTACATTTTTATTCATTTTTATATATTTTAATGTTTGGGTGTTTAAATTGCAATAACTTGTACGCCGATTTGATAAGACCATGTACATAGGTACTAACACTTCGGATACTTTTTATCCTGGTAATTATTTCTCGTAGGATAATAATTTAACTTTAATATTAGTTCTCATCTTATCAATAAATACTCCCTAAAACTTTAAAAAATATTATAAACTAGCGGCTCACTCTCTCTTCGCTCGGGTTCGTCGCTAGGTACGTTTTAGATATAAATGGTTATTAGCCAGCGTTAGCCATTTAGATTTTATTTCTTTTTGTTAATAATATTGACAAATATTGACATTAATATTTATACGACACTAACGTCACTCAATTGTTTTGCCTTGCCGGAATCTCTCCACTAACACTTAAACTTTATGGTATGGTATTAAAGTTCAAATTGTCTTTTAAGTATTATTACGAACCTTTTGTATGGGAGTATAGAAAAGTGTTGTTTTTGGACTTTTTCAGGCAATTTTTTAAATTTTTCTCTCCGTAAGAACCATCCTCGTACTTCAAGGAATATTCTAAAAAAAGAATTAGCGAAATCGGTTCAGCTGCTCTCGAGATTTGCGCTTACCAACACATTCAGCGATTCATTTTTATATTATAGAAGATAAAACACTTTTAGGCATGTGAAACTGCATAATTATAGAGGCTTGTTAAGCCAATTATTTTATTATACCTAGTACATAACAAGTACATACTGTGGCCATTCCATCCGGGTGAAGTCTTCATCCTCTGGCATCCAGGTATACCTTTTGGGGTCAGGTTGACTGCACACGGAGCGAGGCCTCCGTCGAAAGTATGAACATTCCAGATCGGCATCATATGCGCACACCTCGGGCGGTGCGGGACTTGGTTGACCGAACCTAATCAAAATATATATTAAAATTGATTTTTAAGGGAACTTTTAAATATATTTTTTATAATTTAAATTAAATATGTAAGTTCGTGAGGAAGCTATCACTGGAAGGCAGTTCTTCTAAGAAAACCCATTCAAAAATTAATTTATAGTTGCTTATAAAGATTATATTTATATATTTTAGGGATACCAGCGGTAACTAAACATAATAATATTTAACTTTAAAATTAATTCACCAAAATAATTCGAAGATCCAGCTGTTTCTTCGGGCCGTATTCTACACGCTCCTATATGATGCATGGATTACATTTAGGGGTTTGGTGATCACACGTGGGCGAAGTTAGAAGTCATTTGTAGTTTAAAGATATAATCACTACGTATAATCATATTAGCGACATACTCTCGCTTCGATTTAATTATTAATATAAGTTTATTATTACCAGTAGCATTTGTCTTACTCCAGAGCATAGGCTATCTGTGCAGTGAATTTCATCCAAATCCGCCCAGCCGTTGCAACGTGAAGGAGTAACAAACGAAAGTGCCCAGGGAGGCAAAATTCAAAAGATAATTTAAAAAAAATCTTCGCGTTATCGAAAATGGTTTTTTATTTTCAAAAAAATGAACAATTAAAAAAAATAACTATTTTTTGCATTTGTCAAAAATTTAAAAAAAGAATTCTATCGAAACTATTCATTTTATACAAAATATTGATAATGGAGCGGCATTTCTTACATTTTCCAGGGGTGGCGTTAAGGTTGAATCTGGCGCTGACAAACATACACAGTTACATACAAACTTTGGCAATCATACTACTGTATGATTTTGTAATGTAAATCATTGAAAAGCTTTCACTGAAAGAAACGTAGACCGCAATCACAGTGCTTTTGTTAAGAATGTTGCTGTGAAAAGATCGCTCTTTTGAAGGGACGACACTTGTCAGGTCCCGTCGTGCGAACCCCTATTGATCACACACTTGTTTAACAGGCGAGAATATCTCAGTGTACAACTAAAGCATATACTAAGTAACCCATCTTTTTTATAAATATATTTTTCTTTACTAATTGGCATTAGTTTTTTTGAACGCGAAAAGAAAATTTTATTTTTATATTTAATTGCCGATTTTGAAGAATGGTTACAATCTGATAATATCAAGCTACAGTCAGACGGTTAATACCTTTAAAAATTATATATAAACTAGCGATTTATCCTTACTTCGCTCGGATGCGTCACTAGGAACGTTTCGTATAGATGAAAATAGTTATTGTGAGCGTACCTTAGAAGACTGACACGTGCTATCGTGGACTTTTTTGTAGACCTTTTTAAGAACTACAATTTTTAGTAGATCGTTTTGATATATCTCTAAAGGTTTAGCCAGCGTCAGCCATGTAATTGTACGGCAAAAGTTGTTTTAATAAAACACCGTCTAGACTCAGTCATTATGTATAAAATGTTTACAAATTATATACACAAATTAAAAGCTTATTGATCTTTCTATTAGTGGAAATAGAATAACTTTTTACTAATATTTCGTCATTCATTTTTCTCCTTCCCGAACCAAATGACCATAATTTCTTTTATCTCAAAATCCATTTTTTTATAAACCTACTATAATTTACATTTATTTAATAAATTGTATTTACTAAAAACTTATATAGTATTAAATTACAATTACAATTTCAATATATCATATACTCGCGATTCACCCTTGCTTCGCTCGGGTTCGCCCCTTGGTACGTTTTAACAGTTAGTATAGACACAGATCATATAATATTATACTAGGTATGGAATAGATAGGCTACATGTTATATGATATGCCTATAGCCTTCCTCGATAAACGGGCAATCTAATGCAAAAAGAATTTTTCAAATCGGATTAGTAGTTCCTGAGATTAGCGCGTTCAAACAAACAAACAAACAAACAAACAAACAAACAAATAAACTCTCCCTCTTTATAATATTAGTATAGATTATAGGCTATATAAACATACCTGGGATACCGCTGTATGGGTGCATAGTCGGTGTTGAGATTCTCATCCGAGGGCACTCGACGACGGACACACACGGATAGAAATGATGCTCTGAAAAAAAGTATCAGTTTAAGCACAAATTTTCAATTACTTAAATAAAAATTGTGTGTACTATTAAAACAATTTCAATATAATCAAATTTTTTATCCGACTTGCTTAGAAAGTTGAAAATCTTTTTCGAAAGTTGTATACCTATGTCTATATTATGTTAATTAGACAGAAAGAATTCATGAATCTTAGCTTAGAAACATAATTTTTCAACGTCTATATCCTTTTTCAACAGCTAATAAACGTTTTCTAAGTGGACGTATTACATACATTTACATATATCGAATATAAAATTTTTGATGTTACACTCGAATGAGCTAAACTTTCAAAATTTGTGAATGCTATTTGAATAGCTACGAATATTCTACGTGAATATTCTCTACGATTTACATGCTTCGGAAATATGTGCATAAAATAATCTCTTATTTTAGAATGTAGTTGCAATTTTAGATAGAATATCTACGAGTATTTCTAACTTTAGCTGATATTAACAAAAATATAAATCCTAGTACAAAATATGTTTCATACATCCTTAATTTATAACTTACGTGACCGAGTAGGTGCTGGTTATATTTTTTTTTATTTATTATTATTAATTACAGAAACTTTTTCAGTACCTAATTAAGCTAACATTAAATTTGAGTACGAGAATAATTTTAATGCATAGGTTTTCTGAAATTCACGGCTGAAACGAGTCTTACAACAACTAAACACCATAATTCAAGTCAAAATGTTCAAAATTTCCATGACGAATAACAAACTTACAAACAACGATAAAATGAATTATATCACTTTTATCTACACTTATCATACTTTTATAGCTTTATAAAAGCATATCAATTTGAATAAAATGACGTCATAAACCGAAATAGCGGATGCTATGAGACAAGCTGCGAATGCCAAATATACTCGTATAGATAGATGTTCTTTTTGGTATTTCGCATCTCAAAACGAAGAAATGGAGTGGAACCCTTATTAGGTTTCTTATCTGTCACACCCTATTTTCTCCATATCTACGTATCGCAAAACGTGATTTATGTAACCTACATACTGTCCATTTAGGGATTTTATTAAAAAATAAAAAAATATTACATAATGCTTTTAGGAAAATAATAAGAATTTCAAACTATATTTTTTATAATTTTACTAAGAAAATTAAAACAATATTAACAAAAAAATTGAGAAAATTGAGCATTCTCCCTATCTTACCTGCGAAACTACTGGTAACAGAATTTTGACAATGTATATACAAAATATAGGGCTATTTTCAAATACAAGAAAATGTAACAAAAATCCTAACTCTTTAAAAAATATTATTTACGGAACCTCATTTCCCGTGAGTACGACTTGACAAATTTTTAACTTTTTACGAATTTCTTTACAAACTGTAATTTACGATTTCAGTGCAATTTTAAAATCTTTTAAACATTGAGATTTATAAGGTTTTTTTTTGAAATATATATGATACTGATGGTACATTTTAAGGTTCATTCAGATTTCCTATCAGCAGTACAGAAGATGTACTGCGCCGACCCCAAATGATTGAGACATGGGCAGGGAGAAGAAAAGGTACATTTTAAGGTTTTTGAATATTCTTTATTTTATGATCCTATGTCTGGTGTAACAATTTGTATTTAAGAAATCAGTCAATAAGATTTTCTTGTTTATAATAACTCAGATACAATTGATGTATGTAAATCTTAAATGAAATACATATACATATGTATAGACAAAAGAGTTAAGTACCATTTTTTTCTTTGTTTATCAACCGATTTCCTTTTTTTTGGTTATGTAGCTATTGACGAGTTTTAGTGATATCAATGGAGAAAAAAACATCCCCACTTTACGTGTAAATATTTTTTTTTTTCAAGATTTTATTTTACCACTTTATCGACGTGACTAACATGACTCACCCTCGCTTAGTTCGGGTTCGTCCCTAAGTTGATTCCCCATACAAACTTTCATCTCCATTGTCACCCCCTTAAGGGATGATTTGCGAGATAAAAAGTATCCTATGTCCTTACCAGGATTTCAAACTATCTTCTTACCAAATTTCATCTAAATCGGTTCAGTAGATCCAGAGATTACCACCTACAACGTCACAAACTCACAAACTTTACCTCTTTATAATATTAGTATAGTATAGATAGAAATTTTTTACCATTCTCATAAATTTTATTATTATTTTCATGTTCTACTATATAATTAATATTTTTAATAGCATCTGCACTGCAGATATCATTTTAATAGCTGCTTTAATGTTGTACACAGGTAAAGTTTACGAGTTTAAGTATATAGTGTAATAAATGCGACTCTGAATATTCTATATTATACATGATTGATGTAGACTACTTTTAATTTTAATATATGAAATGATACATGGAGGATGTTGTACATTACCAAAGTGAAAGATGTGTTAGATGTAGTTAGAGATTGAGTCGCTAAAGACAAAGAGATTCTTTTTTTTATGTTCGAACGCGCTTATTTATCTACAGTTTATGCATTATATATGATGTTCTCCTGACCGATTCCGGCTACGGCGGCCAATCTCATTGAGACTAGCCAACTGCGCAGGAGATATTATAGTGCTCAAGTGTACGCGCAGACACAAGTGCTCTCTCTATTCCTGTCACTCTCATACTCCGGCGGAACGACCACTCGACATGACCAGTGAGAGTTAAGGCGCAGGACCGACGGCTTTACGTGCTCTCCAAGGCACGGGGGTGAAACACCGCCAACTTCCCAACTCCGGGCTCTTAACTGAGGCTTACTATACAGAAAGACTCAATAACTATACTTGGCCCGACCCTGGACTCGAACACAGGACCTCCGGGTATGCAGCCCTACATGTTAGCCACTACACCACCGAAGTAGTTTTTTATATAGCCGCCTTATTGAGGAAGATAATATCTGTCATGTTACGGCCCGTAATCTATACATATAATAAAAATCTGACTCGAATCTGTACATTAAATATTTTTTTGGAAAATCTTATTGAAATAGTCATTATTATCGATACAGAGGCCGAATCTTTAGTTTTTTGAATTTTTGGCTCTGTCTGTCTGAGAACGCACCACGAGAAAACCACTGGACAGATGTTGATGAAATTTTGTATACTGATAGCTGGTTATCTAGGTTAACATATAGGATTCTTTTCACTGCGGGAAAATATCATTTCTAGATTTATATATTCAAACTAACGACTAGTCTAGTTTAAATATATAAATCTAACCATAAATATCACCACCAGCTTACACCTATAAACAAAAAGGAAAATAAGTTTCACTCAACATTAATCAAGAATAATTTTACTTAACACCGTAAAGTTATCGACTATTACTCGCACCCCAAAGCTTAATACCATTACGGAAGGACGGAATAATAAAACACACAATTTGTTACTCTGAAACCTCCTGGACCCGTTCATTGAGAAAATCTACTTAGAGGCCAGATATACGTTACAGCCTCGTTTCTAATTAATTTAACAAAGCAATAAATTTCATTTTAATTGAAAAATACTTAAAACAATTAAAATAAAACATTGGAAGAAAAAAGTAAAAAGGTAAAGCATAAAGTAGTTTACTGGAAAACAATGATTTTATCAATTCGAGATTTAAAGTAATAAATGTTATTCCAGGGAGTACAATAATATTTCATTGAAACAAGAATAAATGGTAAATATTTTATTAATAAATTAGTGTAGAATATAAAGTTAAAAGCTTTGGTCTATAATCCATCATGCCATTAGCAAAATTAACTTAACCGTACTCTGCTACATTTAGTTTAATTGATACTATTAAATTAATGATGAAATTTATTTTATTTATCGATTTCATATATCTCCGTCCCAAGCCAAAATTACTTTTAGTTAAATCTACTAGTTAATAGATTTAAAAGAGAATACAAAATAATGGAATAAATTTCAGAAAATCATTTAATTTGATCCCTTTTCTTATCTATCTCTTAAGCCTCAATGGCCCTATCCATCACGACGTGACAGCTAAAACCTTGTCTGAACAGAAACGAATTATTGCTAACTTGAGGCTAATAATTTTCATCTTCTCCATCTGATACTGGCAAGGAAACAAGAAGGCACCAAATATTTTATGCATGAATAGGGCGTTAATGCATCTCTTGGGGAATCCCCCATCTCAAAGATGGAGCCTTCAAATAAAGTGTAACTTCAACTTTTCATCACGTTGCTATGTATTTTGACTGATTTTATGAAGGGAAAGTATATATTAAACTTTTTTATTAAAGCAGTAAAAGTATTTTTTCTGTGAAAATCAAATAACTACGAAAAGACTTTGTATTTAAAGTACCATTCAAGTAGTAGAAAAAGAAGTACAAAGGATGATCATGTTTGGTCTTGACGGAAATGTCGATAATTAAATAGCAGTTGCTCGTACCAGTATTTATTTAGTGCCTTATTTATCAAAGTAATATTAACCATATGATAAAGAACAGTTTACACTACGTAGAAAAGAAAGTGCCTCAATCTTAAGAAAAACCGACCAAATAATATATATTAGTTGGCTATGCCAATATTGCATTTGTTTATCAAAAGTCGTTCGCCGTTTATAACTTATTTAAGTTATAAATCTTCCGTTAGACAAAATTCGATTTATTTATAATGAATGTTGTAGAAAGCAATTTGGTCAGGATTAATGCGCTCAATTTAGAACTGTTTATGCAGATACTTAGGACATCGATCATCTGCTATTTCATTCTGCGTCATTTAACGAAATACGAGCTTTTATTAATAGAATATTAACTTTTATAGAAAACTAACGACTTACTCTTTCTTCACTCGGGTGCGTCTCTGGGTACGTATTAATATTTTTTAGTGGAACCCTAATTCTTTTCTATAATAAAAGTAGCTAAGTGTATCCATAAAACATCAGCTATCTGCCAGTGAAAGGCCCGTCAAAATCAGTCCAGACGATTTGCTCGGGTTCGTCCCTAGGTACGTTTTAAATTAAAATGGAAATAGAATGTTATCCTTAAGAGATAGACATATGCTCTCGCGGACTTTTCTGTAGATCTATATAAGATACACAATTCCACCATATATTATTTTGTTATATCTCAAAGGGTTTAGGCAGCGTTTTCGTTGAAAGCTCCCAGATGGCTTATTTTATTTCGATACCACAAATATCTTTATATTTTAGCCAAAGTATATAAACACTTAACAAATTATATACTAAAACTTTGCTCGAGAATCACTCTATCCATTGGTGGAAACAACATGAAAATCGGTGCAGTAGTTTTTGGGTTTACTGCGAACAGACAGGAACAGATAGTTAATAGTTTAGTACTTACATAATATGAAACTTTACCTGTTGGCTCTCGAACATGGACTCTCGATGTGGTACTGTGACAGGCATCCGAGGAATCTGTCCTTTTTGGACTTTTCCAATTCCAACAAGTCCAATTGTTTGTTGTTGATACAGTATTGTTCTCGGAACTCCTGCGTGAAAATACATACGTACATATTGTATATGTAAAATAAGTTATAATATTTGATAAGTATGTATGTTTATGTAAGTATATATGTTTGTATGTATGTACGTGTGTGATGATAAGTTATCCTTTATCAACATTTTGTTACTTTATTTTGTATAACATATATTTTATGGTACATAAATAAATAAATAAATAAAATAAAAAAGCTAATAATAGCATAACATATCGTAATAATACAAGATACGTAATAATATATTTAATATTACAATAAAAATAAAAATCCATCCAAACTACAGGTCTATTTAATTTTCAACATTTTCCATAGTTCCTTCGCACTGGCCGGTCATTATTTTTGGGCAATTCCCTAGTGATACTCAGAGATAAATCCGGGCTGATGTCACATTAAACAAATTTAAATCTCTTAAGGGACCTCTACCTGTTAGAGCTTTATCTCCACACAAGGTCCAAAGGATCGGGTTCCTTTGAGCTTTAAAGAGATATAAATATAAAATAAAAATAATAGCCCATTCCCTGTGTGTCTGTTTTTAATATTCTATTTGTAATAATAACAAAATGAAGCTAGCCTTATCAGTAAGGTCAAAATAACTAACGGTAAAATGCACTGGAATGCTTTGTGAATAGAAAAATATGCAATTTTATAAATATTTTACAATGAAATCTTCGTATTAAGTATAATAGTCATGGCCCAAGGGATTCATATACATACATGCATGCCACACTGTATAACATCAATAACAACAATAATTGGTGTATTTGAAATATATACATACTAGCATTGCCCGCGGCTCCGGCCGCGTTCAGATGACCAAAAGTCAAATTCTTAGGTTTTACATATTAGTATACTCTTACATTGTAGTTTTTGTATTTTTTCTCAGAAATGAGACATTTTTCCGTGGTAAAAAGTATCTTATATGTTGACCCGGATAACCAGCTATCACCATATCAAATTTTATCAAAATCCCTTCAGCGGTTTTTCTGTGATGCGGTAACAGACAGACAGACAGACAAAAATTCTGAAAACTATAGATTCGGCCTCTGTATCGATAATAATATCTACTTCAATAAGATTTTCCAAAAAATATTTAATATACAGATTCGGCTTAGTTACAATTTTATTATATGTATAGATTATATTAGACTTTAACTATAGGTATAGAAACTTATAATTCTTATTTATATCACGTTTCATTATGAACTGTATAAAACATATCAACGTATGATGCATCGTTCTATCCTTTTTTGGTTTTCTATACTGTTGATGAACCTCATCCATCAACCCAGTTAGCAAAGTCAGATATAACATAAAATACTCTTTGTTGGCGTCACTGTTCTTATATAGAATTCAATTTTCTGTAGCAAGTATGATATTCTGAATATGAAATTTAGATAATTATATGTTAAATGTTTCATTTTGTAGTTATATCTTTATTTTGTTATATATTTGTACATTTAGTGTTTGTTTTTCGTTTTAAGACTAAGTAGACTATTATTTAGTGTTTTAAATTATAGACAAACCAATTTTTTTTGAGCTCAGATTGTTTTTAAAAGCTTAAAAGTAATAAAAAAATTACATTTTTCCCTATTCGTACATGAAATTAATACACCGATTTTAATGGAATTCTTAGAGATGGTTAAAATATTAGTTTAAAAGTGATGAAGAATACTTTTTCTCTGATTAACATATACATAGGTACGTGTTATAATTCTGTGGAAATTACCTATATAAAGTTAGTTTTTAATGAAAATAATATTCTATATGTTATAATGTTACATAAGCAATTCTTGCGTGTATTATATATGTACATATGTATGTAATTTGTGTATCTCGGAAAGCTGTAACGATTTGGATCAAATTTTATATTTAGATAAATTGTTGCTTTTTAAGTTTATCTATATAGGTGTCTTTTCTGAAAAAACGAAAATTTTTCTTATTTGAAAAATACGATTTTCCAAAAAAAAAACGCCAAGTGAAGTTCCATCACCCATTTACTTTGTAAATTAATATATCAATAAACAGTACCTGCTTGGAGTACATCGTAGTCTTGCTGGTTGGCCGCTCGTCGGTGGCCCTCTGCCACTTTCTGCCCGCGTTTTCATCCTCCGATTCGTAGCCCTTCGCTGAATGTGCTATGTCCGCCTGGTTATCATAAATTATAATAAATTTTATACAGATGCTATATTTATAAAACTGGAAAATAAAAATAAATTTTCATATTAAATCACACTTAACCAATTTCAAAAAAAGAGGACGTACTCAATCGGGCTATATGTTTTTAGTGAATGTTTGGCCAAAATGGAAGTAAATGTATTTTTTTTAGTTAAAAAGTTATTATAACTATCAAAAAATGTCTAGCTTAATTGTTAGCATGAAATTATTCGATTACATTTTTTTTAAAGATTCAGCTTATTTAAAATTAGGTTGTCTAATATATTTTATTTAAGCAGCTTACACTACATACTTATATTAAAAATTTTGCTACAATATAAAAAAAAACCAAATCGCTTTCGTCACGTTTAGCCCAATCCCATTTTTTATCGGCACAGGTTATATATGAACGAATGGTTTTCAACAATGGTGCCCAATGATGCTAAGATTAACCATTTGCGTGTTCGCAAAAGATATCATTATACACAAAATCGATTTTGTAGCGATACTACAGATCAAGGCTTAGTACGGACGGCTTTACCTAGTCCGAGGCAAATATTTTACTTATAATAATACGTAAGTAAACATATCTATACTTAATATTATAGAGGTAAAGATTGTCAGGTTGTGAGTTTGTGACGTTGTAGGGAGTTATCTCGGATGAACCGATTTAGATGAAATTTGGTAAGAAGATAGTTTGACACCCTGGGAAGGACAAAGGATATAGGATAGGATACTTTTATTCCGAAAATCATCTCTTAAGGGGGTGAAAATGGGGATGAAACTTTGTATGGGAAATCAGACTAGGGACGAATCCGAGCGAAGTGAGGGTTAATCGCTAGTATATATTACACTTCTGTATATACTTTTGTCTAGAAACTCTTAAAAGAACATTATTCAGAGTGATACTTTCAAAGTCATAAAGAGCAGACAATACATTTGTATAATACTTTCTTAGATTTACGCGAATGTTTGACATTATTAAATAAAACTATCTTTTCGGATTATTTCGCAGATTTATTTTGATTTTTGGTTCCCGACGTTTCGAATGCTTTACAGCATCCATGGTCACGGGAGAGACTGAGGTGTTACATGTCTTAAAGATATAGTTGTTACAGACAGCCTACCCACAATTAACAAAATGAAAATTGCACCAATTACATTACAATATTTTTAACTTTAAACATTTTTTATAATTTTAATTATAATTGAATATGGAAAATTATTTATTTAATTTTTGCTATTATTTTTATAATTATTACAATTTTAAAAATATTAATTAGTAATCTATATTTAGTGTTGCCATTATTATATTTATAACCATAAATAAAAATATAAAAATATAGTATTAATTATTAAAGCCATATAATTGTTCTATGTGTAATTTAAAAAGTTAAAATTTATTACGGATAATCATTTAAATTTAGTTTGCAAAAACAACTTACTAAGCAACACTATTAATATATACTTTTACAAATGAAAAATATTAATCTGATAAGCTGTCATTTTGATCTACACAGTATGAACTTACTGCATCTGCCTGTCTGTTATGTTTATACTTATTATTTGATTTTATTATATTAATAACAGGATCCCATGACGATGGTAGTACCCAGCCATCTTCCCTATTGAAATTTGGATGTTTTTTAATTTCTATGGCTTCTCGAATCATTCTAGGGCGATATCGGTTTTCTTTCGCCAGGATTTGAGGTCTATCGAAACGAATATAATGGCTTGGGCGGTCCTGGCTATGTTTGCAGACAGCAGATGTTGTATTGCGACGGTGCTTCACATCAGCTATGTGTTCTTTGACCCGGGTTCTAATGGATCGCTTTGTTTGTCCAATGTAAGAGAGCCCACAATCACAATCAAGCTTGTAGACTCCTGCATCTTGTAGAGGGATGTGGCACTTGACAGGTGGTAAGAACTGACTAATTTTCTTTGGCGGCTTGAAGTAAGTTTTAATTGAAGCTCGCTTTAGAATGTAGCCAATCTTGTCAGTGACTCCTTTCATGTATGGCAAGACTGCAGGGACGCGCTCGACTGTGGCTGGTTTCACTCGGTCACTGTGTGTAATTGGTGCAATTTTCATTTTTTTAATTGTGGGTAGGCTGTCTGTAACAACTATATCTTTAAGACATGTAACACCTCAGTCTCTCCCGTGACCATGGATGCTGTAAAGCATTCGAAACGTCGGGAACCAAAAATCAAAATAAATCCGCGAAATAATCCCAAAAGATAGTTTTATTTAATAATACATTTGTAGTTAAAACTGGAAGTTTATTTTAGATTTTAATTTATATTTTTAATTTAGTCATTATAGTACTAACTGCGTTATAAACCATAATAAGTAATTAATATTATAACATTTCGAGGACAGTTTTAAAGTAAATGGATCAAATAGATAATAAAGCATAGAGAACAGAACTGAGTAGTGTCCCCGATGTTACAGACTAAGTTTGTTATGAACTTTTAGTAATAAGCTAAGTTATATAGCACTTCACTGTGACCTAACATTTCCTTATATATGTATTTAGTATATAATAGTATGAAAATGGAATTAAGTTGTTAAAAACAAAAAATATTATATTTGATAACAGTCTTTGTCCACGGCTCCACTCACAAACTCACAAACTTTATCTCTTTGTAATATAATTATAGATTAGTATTAGTATGGAGGATTGATTGACTTATTTATTTAAAAATAATAGCTGATAAAAATATATAGCGACAAATAATATAGTACTACTACGAGTACTTTACTGTTTAGTGAATTGGTTTCTACTTGAATCGATTTGTCATAGTCTTCTCATTATAGTTGCATTGTGTTTTTATCATTTTTACATTAAAAACAAAAAGGCTTACTGACATTAATTTATGTCTTACTTGCAGATACATACACAAACATGTGGACATTTATTTTACAATTTGGCATATTTGCGTGTTTGTACACATAAATATGTCACTTTAGCATATTTATGTTATGTGTATAAACACACAAATATGCCAAAGTTTCATCGCAATTATATAGACGATATGATAGAATGCACGTCCATGCATTAGCAAAGACCTTTAATACGAGGGCGTTAGGCCTCTCCACGTGTCTTTCGAAAACTTGCTAAGTTTTCTCAGACATGCAGATTTCCTCAAGATGTTTTCTTTCACCGTATGATGTTCTCCTGACCGATTCCGGCCACGGCGGCCAATCTCATTGAGACTAGCCAACTGCGCAGGAGATATTATAGTGCACAAGTGCACTCTCTATTCCTGTCACTCTCATACTCTGGTGGGACGACCACTCGACACGACCAGTGAGAGTTAAGGCGCAGGACCGACGGCTTTACGTGCTCTCCGAGGCACGGGGGTGAAACACCTCCAACTTCCCAACTCCGGGCTGTTACTGAGGCTTAATATACAGAAAGACTCAATAACTAAACTTGGCCCGACCCGGGACTCGAACCCAGGACCTCCGGGTGTGCAGCCGTACATGCTAGCCACTACACCACCGAGGCAGTTAAACCGTATATTTTTTACCGTTTCACCGTATATTCCGTATATATTACGGGCAGAGAAATGAGGCACATATCATCAAAATTTCACAGAAATATACTTATAGACTTATTCTGACATAAAAATTTACTTTCACATTATACATTATATTCCTTTATATATTACGTTACAATCTGTACACATTTTAATGGCAATTTAGGTCGATTCTCTTCATTTACATTTCTCATTTACTTCATTTCCTTTTACTAATAAATGTTTCAAGTTCAAATTTCATATTAAACGAGTCCAAAGACTCTCGTAATGGAATAATCTTTCTTCCGTTTGAAGTAATAAGAAGCTGCCCTGTTAATCTTCAGGGATTTCTAATATGCTCTTATTTTAAAAATTTGAAACTTTAATTATAATAATCAAAGTATTGTGTATTTTTAACCGACTTCCGAAAAGGAGGAGGTTCTCAATTCGTCGGAATATTTTTTTTTAATGTATGTTCACCGATTACTCGAAGACGCTTGAACCGATTTGGATTTTTATTTGTTTCAAACGGTATACTTTCCAAGTGGTCCCATATAAATTTTATCGAAATCGGTCAAGCAGTTTTTTTTAATTAACAAATAAATTATTTTTTTAAATAAATTGCTTAATCGGACATGTTATTACAAAACTTTCTTCTAACTAATTACCTGCTTATTACGTTTACACTAAAAATGGATAAATAAAAACATTAAAAAAAAATAAAAGCCGCCTTTCAGACACTAAAATGTAAAAAATAACTAAATAGTTTTCATTTAGAACTAATCAGATATTTTCGAAGTCGGTGCCAGCGGACAATATTTTAAGATATGAATATCTAATAGGAAAATATGTTTTACGTATCGACATATACCTAGTAGATTTATTGCTTTGCATCGGCTGACGTCTTTAGAAATTCTGAAAGTTTTCTAATTCATATCAACATCATAGTTTACAAAAGAAAATGCCCGAGCCGTGCTTCAAAATTAAGTAATCGTTAAGTTGTTTCTTAATTTGATATACATATTTATCAATTTATTGTAAAGAAATCGAATCTAATATTACACGTTTCAATTCGATGGGTCATTATTACAAGGTTCTATGTTACAATTTTAGTACTTATTTAGTTATTAATACTACAACGTTCTATGTGCCATTAGCTACAGTTTTTTAAAAACAAACCACTAGATATCGGCACTATAGCTACAAAATATTCACTTTTACATAGTTCTATGTTGTTTTTTTACGATAACAAAATAACGAAGTTCTATGTAAAAATTACTAAACTTCATTAAAATTAACATAGAACCTTGTAATAGTAAGCTAACGATATGTATGTCCCCATTAGTTTACGCACAAAAATGTATACAGTTACTAACAACGATTTAAACCAGAGCAACCAGAGATTTTGAAGTTGACGTACCTTTGACAGTATAATAATGTTGCCATATCAAAACTTTTAAGAAATCTCCAGGACACGCTTTCGTTAGCCTGAGTCTAGTATATCGATTTTCATTATTATATTTTTTGAGTTTGTGAGATTGTGAGTTTGTCACGTTGTAGGGCGTAATCTCTGGACCTACTGAATCGATTTAGATGAAATTTGGTAAGAAGATAGTTTGAGACCCTGGGAAGGACATAGGATACTTTTTATTCCGGAAATCATCTCTTAAGGGACTTATCAGACTAGGGACGCACCCGAGCGAAGCGAGGGTGAGTCGCTAGTTTTTTGTAATTAGTATATAAATATAATTTATATTTCTGTAGAGAATATACTAATATCTCAATTTAAAGATAATAATTTAATTCTTAACTACAGTCTCACCTAAAACTAAATGGCGATGTACTCGTAAATGGTAAGCGCATTAGCTTAGTAAAAGCCTATTAACTCTACGAGTAGCTTTAAGCACGTTGTATTTGGACAGGAATACAGATATAGTAGGCTTTTCCAGTGCCATCCCATCCACTTCCTATGTATGTTGTTAAATCACAAGTTTAACATATTCTTCTAATTTTTTTCTTAAATTATTTACTAGTTATGTATACCTACCTTCCTTTAATACTTTTTTTTAGATTTACGCGAATATTTGACATCTATATCTATAATAAAATTGTGAGTCAAATCTGTACATTAAATATTTTTGGGAAATATAATTGAAATAGTCAATTTTATCGATACAGAGGCCGATTCTTCAGTTTTTAGAATTTTTGTCTGTCTGTCTGTGTGGGAACTCATCACAAGAAAACTACTGGATAGATTTGGATTAAATTTGGTATGATAATAGCTGGTCGTGTGAGTCAAGACATAGGACTTTTATTATATTATTATTATGACACTTTTTACTGCGGTAAAATATATCATCTCTGAGAAATCTATACTAAACGTTAAAACGTAACTAGGGACGAACCCGAGAGGAGCGAAGGTGAATCACTAGTTTTAAATAAAATCTTTCTTTCTTCTTATTCTTTCTTTTCTATCTTTTCAGAAGTTATAGTTTTGTTTAAAATATATCTAAGCTTGTTAAATTGCTTCGACGTGCCTTCAATATGAAGGAGTTTCTCAAAGTGCAGCAAAACTTTAAGCTTGGCCCTTTAAGAGGGCCATCAACTCTGTAGTTCTCGGGAGAACTAGAACATCACTTTGCTCTTAGTTTTGGACGGTGATATTAATTAGACTTAAGTAAGACAAGCTTCCTACTGCGAAAATTATCGTGATCGCAGCTTTTGATATTATATTTGGTAGCTTTTGCCTACAGTTTTACACGCGTGTATATTTCATAAATACAAAACGAAAAGAGTTTTTCTAGCTGGATTGAAATAAAACTTTCTATAACGAAAAGGTTGTACAATCAAAAAGATTTATTAAAATTTGACTGGCTGACCTATGTAACTATATTCTATGTATTTAGTCGTCTGGCCAAATATTATAGATTTGTATAAAAATATATTCAATTTATTTTGAAGCTAGTTAAATCATACATAATATTATAATTCTAACCAATTTTGATCACGACTGTCCATCTTATTTAAACTGTCTATAATAGGTAATCCCATATATATATATATATATATATATATATATATATATATATATATATATATATATATATATATATATATGTGTACGCATATTTGTGCACTATAATATAACATACTCTCTGGTCCGGGTAGACATGCCAGCCACTAGACCAATAAGGCAGTAGTCGTATGTTAGTAATATTGTATATTAATAAAAATACTTAAAATTACCTTATTATACATACTTATTATACATTAAATAAGAATCTCAGTAAAACAGCTGAATTTTACAATCTTTTAAATAAAAAAAACGCTATTAATACATCATTCAAGTTAAACTTTAACAAAAAACAGAATACCTTTCAAGTTACGGTTTCAATAAAATCGTTGAAAGTTTAATCAAGACCAAAGGTAAACCGAATTTGAATAGAACCTTCAATGAACGCTTTAAAAGATTTGCTATTCTTACCTGTGTGGAAACCGACACGCCAGAACCACTCGCGCCGCCACCTGGGGAAAAAATAAAAGATTTTAGAATTTTCACTCATTATATACGGATACTTAAGCGTACAAACGTTTGCGATTGCACACTGAAGCTTGTAAAATCTTTGCTCGTTAACACGTCACGATGAAATGTGCCTCGAAAATTATAATTTGAAAGTTGCTATTCAATTAGATCTCGCGAAAATGTTAGGTTTCAAAGTTTGGAAGCGTGCATAATTAGTGGCTGTCCTTAACTTCACCTAGTATAGGAACAAATACGAGTACGTACATATAACCATACTTACTAATATTATAAATGTGAAAGTGTGTTTGTTTGTTTGTCCTTCTTTCACGTCGAAATAGAGTGATGGATTGGCGTGATTTGTGTAGAGATAGTTGGAGGGCTGGAAAGTGACATAGGCTACTTTTTACTACAGGAGATCATCTCATTGTCACCGTAAAACACGCTTAGAGATTGTTTTATAATTTTAGCGCGAACGATGCCATGGGTTCTGCTAGTACATATATAAATCTCAAATTAATCGATACGTTCAGTAAAACATTTGTGATACAACTTTAAAATATCAAAGTTTCTATGGAACTATACGAAGAGTAAAAACAAATAAATATACTAAAATAAACACATTCACACAATATGTATGTACATATATATATACGTTCGTACGTTTTTAGAATGGGTACGGTCTAAAGGGTTATATTATAATACCCTATTACTGAGCTTACGCTATTCATCTATCCGTTTATCCATCAATTTATTATATTATATCTATACTAATATTATAAAGAGGTAATGTTTGTGAGTTTGTCAGGTTGTGATTTGTGAGTTTGTGACGTTGTAGGGGGTAATCTCTGGATCTACTGAACCGATTTAGATGAAATTTGGTAATAAGATAGTTTGAGACCCTGCGAAGGACATAGTATTTTTTATGCAGGAAATCATCCCTTAAAAGGGTGAAAATGGGGATGAAAGTTTGTATGGGAAATCAACCCGAGGGACGAACCCGAGCGAAGCGAGGGTGAGTCGCTAGTATTATATAATAATATTTTAGTTTATCCACATTTCATTTGTATATACAAGCTTCGCAAAAATATAAAATAACAGTAAGAAAACTTTTCATAATGGGACAATAATTATTCATCTCATCCAGAGACGAATCGTCATTTTATGTCGTTAATCTTCTGGAATTACACAGACGGAATATTTAGGGTCGAATTATAAGGAAGAAAAAATTATCATCTGTATAAGTTTTCCAAAGTCTAATAGTTTTTTTCATTATGAACCATAAACTTGGAGGGTAAATAAATTTAGATAGTTTATGAATTCCTTAACAAGTGGAAAATGACTTTTAAACTAAGTTTTATAAACGCAAACCATTATAAAATTCTTTAAGTAAACAGTTAAGTTTTGTATTCACCTTACTTTACTTACAAATATTACTTAAATATCAATACTATATTGTACAATTTCAATATCAAATTAAAAATTATTTAACTTAAGCACCGTTTAGAAGTAAATATATTCAGCACTTTTTAACCCCCAACGCAAAAAAGGAGTGTTATAAGTTTCTAACGTCCCAATGTTAGGCATGGGCTTCCCTTTAATGCGAGGGGGATCAGGCCATATTCTACCGACTACCATACTGGCCAAGTGCGGTTTAGCGGACTTCGCATGTCTTTCAAAAACTTGCCATATTCTCTCAGACATGCAGGTAGCCTACGTTTTCCTTCACCATGAGACAAGTGGTAAGTAGAAAATGATTCTCACATGAAAATATCATAGGTGAGAGAAAATAGTGTAACTAAATACCAAAAGTTCAAATTAAACTACCAAACTATTTTAGTCTTTAAGAAAGAAAATTTGACCTAACGAAGGGACCTAAAACTTTTGACTTGTGGTTCTAAGTTAGCACTAACATAATTTAGATTACTTAAGTTCCGGGCCTAGTTGTGGAAGTTTTGGTGACTAAGCAGATTAAACAAACTACGAAAGGATTCAACAAGCTACACCATTAAGCAGTTAATGCTATTAGAGCTGTAATAGCTTGAAAGGATTCTGTTGAAATACGCACCCCTTTTTAAGGTCACATCACTAAAAAACGGAAACGTAATATATAACGTCATCATGTCAGTCTGTACGTATAACAACTTTCTACTGTTAGATTATTGATATTATTTAGATAAAATTTTGATGTTGTCTTATGTAGTGTTGTAAAGTCAAATCACTAAAGATAAAAAAATTGCCGTGAAACTCCTTACACGTAAAGAGCGGTGAAAGAATAATATGAGTATGCATAACCGTGTGGGGTTTAGGATAGATTTTAAAATTACTCAAACTTGTGCAATTTTCTCATTTTAGTTTTTAACTTTTATTATCTATTTTCTAGGTGTTTTTTATTTTTATTTGTAAAAGTTAATATAACATTACTCATTTGTAAGTATTTGCTTCCACTAACCTAAATATTGAGAATATTTTACTGTAATATCTTAATGCTTATGCCCTTTAAAGTGTATAGTGTACAGTAAAGAGCAAAAGTGTAATTTAAATCTCTTTCAAAAGCCATTTCAACTTTTATATTTTTTTATTTTCGAGCAATAGATATATAAAAATAAACTTAACAATATAAAAAACGTAATTTTTTTCTCATTATCAGAATGATCATGCAAGGACCAAATGATCGAGACCTTTTGATCCTCTCATTTTAACGTTTTAATAATATATATTGCATTTTTGTTCTTATATAGATTATAATGGTGATCATAAGGCGAATTACGTTAGATGTGTTTTACTATATAGTTAATAAGTAATTTTAACTAGGAAGATCTGCTCCTTCTGTGTAATATATAGTAAGTAGATGTATTTAAAATAATATAGTCTGGTTTGAATGTCCACTAACTGTTAAAAAACCTAATATCTAAAACAATTATGGGTGTGTCAGATAAAATGCCTTATTTTTATTTGCGAGCTTAAAGCTTAAAAGAGATAAATTGTACTAAATAGAATAAGTTTTATACTGAAAATAATAACATCAAAAAGCAACCAATAAATATATTTCCATGGAAGTGAATAAAGCTCCAAGATGCGAGATGTTGTGACAAACAGAACAGTAACATGATTATATCTATCACGTAACTTTGTAAGATACGGCTATAGGAGACGAAAAAATACAAAAAATATATATTTAGATAATTGAATCTACGTGTGCACTTGTATAAAGAAGAAAAATTTATTTCTTTCTACGTAGAGCTTAAGGCTTAAGGCAGTGGTAGCCCAGTGGTGACGCGCTCGCTTGGGAAAACGAGTGAAGCGAGTTCAAATCCCAGGTCTCGCACCTTTGATATTTTCATGTGCGAATCATTTCCAACATGATTACCACTTGTCTTAACGGTGAAGGAAAACATCGTGAGGAAACCTGCATGTCTGAGAGAACTTATCAAGTTTCGAAAGACATGTGAAGTCCGCCAACTCGCACTTGGCCAGCGTGGTGGACTATGGCCTGATCCTCGTCGTATTGAAGGGAGGCCCGTGCCCTGCAGTGGGACGTTAAAAAGGGCTGAATACAATACGTAGAGCTTATGCTCTATTATCATTATCAGATTATTCTGATAGTACTAAATTGCTTCAAAAGTTCTACTTATCGAAAGTATACTTGAAGTAATCTATACCTACAATTATAATAAAATTCTAACTAAGCCGAATCTGTAAATTAAATATTTTTTGGAAAATCTTATTGAAATAGCCATTATTATCGATACAGAGGCTGAATCTATAGTATTTAGAATTTTTGTCTATCTATCTGTTACCGTATCACGAGTAAACTACTGGACAGATTTTGATGAAATTTGATATGCTGATAGCTGGTTATCCGGGTCAACATACAGGATACTTTTTACTGCGGAAAAATATCTCATCTTTGCTAGCAAGCACTATTTTTGTTATTTTACTAGTACTTGTTAAACAAAATGTTTAATCTTCAAATTTTATTTCAATCTTCATGTCAACTTCCGGACCCTAAAGAAAATATCATCAATATATTAAATTACAATTTGAGCAGAGTTGTAAGCGATAGCCAGTCAAATAAAAGAATAAAACAATGAAATGTTTTATCTTATTGAAATATTTCTGATATATTTAAATTAATCAAGTTTTTGTACAAATGAGTTTAATGATTTATAAATGGAAATGCGTGGAATTACTCGTAGTTAATTGGCCATATTATTCAGCGATATAATTTTCATATATTTAGACACCCTATCACCTCCCCTATCCAAAAATACCACCCACTCCTATAAAGGCCGCGCCATACTAAACTGCAGCCGTGGCTTTTTCTCACTGAAAACTCGAGACGACCAGGCACAGGACTGAAACTTTGCTTACACTTCTAGGCAAAATGTCTCCGTCAACATCTGAACTCACTCGAATTCGTTAAGTTGGCGGTGTTACTGAGGTTTCCTTGATAAAAATGGCCAATAACTATACTTGCTCCACCTAGGACTCAAACTCACGACCTCCGGATTTGCAGCCATACATGCTAGACGCTAAATATAACCAGGCAATAATTTTTTTATACATTATTGTTACGAGTTCTAGTTCGGGGAACGAAAATTAAAGTGGTTCACGAGCACTCTACATTGTTGGTTTAATGCTTTTACAAATAGAGGAGTCAATATTATCAGTTCACAATAGACACTTGCGGCACTTGTATCTATAGTTATGATCAAATTCTATCACTGAGCTCTATTTTCCACTAATAATTTCACTTGTAGAATCACTTCACATCATTTTAGTTCACGTCTCCAAATTTTATCGATTGTCGATTAGTTAAGCTGGGTTTCGAAATTCAACTGATTACTCGACACAATGCTATTGCGATTTTTTAAATTATATTTATTATACTTATAAACAATAAAGATTCAGGTTATCTTCTAATAATATCCTTTCTGGGAAGTGTTTTGTCTCTTTCCTACCCACTACAAATCATTATTGAACTTATATACATAATATAATAAAATTGTAACCAAGCCGAATCAGTATATTAAATATTTTTTTGGAAAATCCTATTGAAATAGACATTATTATCGATATAGAGTCCGAATCTATAGTTTTTAGAATTTTTGTCTGTCTGTTACCGCATTACGAGAAAACCACTCGACAGATTTTGATGAAATTTGGTATAATGATAGCTGGTTATCCGGGTCAACATATAGGGTATTTTTTACCGCGGGAAAATACCTCATTTCTCAGAAAAAAAACAAAAACTGCATTGTAAGAGTATACTAATATGTAAAACCTAAGGATTTGGTTTTTGATCATCTGAACGCGGGCGGAGCCGCGGACAGTGCTAGTATTATAAATATATACGTACTTACTACTATTCGTGTCATAAACAGATTAACAATTGTCTTGACGTGTCAGATATACTTTCTACGCTCTCTACAAGACGTTCGACACTCTCAAACACGCAATAGAATAATGACAGGTGAACAAAATTGGTAAATATGATATTTACTCCATAAAAAACGTGAAAAACAATAATATTATTGAACACATTCCCATTAAATCAATTTCAGTATGTCTTTTCTATATCTTATAAACCGCCTCTCTTGTACCATTATAATAAACGTTAATTTAGTATTTGCGAACATCAGTGCCGTTATCATATCGTTAATATTTATAGAAGGGTCTTGTAGAGCGTATATTAAATCTCTCACATGCTTCGGCTCCCATTTTCTCTAAAAATCGGTACGAAATTTTTATCGCTTGGTAGCGTTTCCGGAATGACGCTATTATTGGATGATTTATCACATAAATGATGTCATCGCAGATTTTTAAGCTCGCCACAAAAGCTTCTATTAGGTCGCTAGATTTATGCATACAAAATATTCAATTTATTGTACGCTACATAGAGCACTTTACATAATAATATGAAATATTTGATTAATTTATCAATTAATAATTCTTTGAGTTTTAAACTAATCTCGGTGTAGATGATAAAATTGAGTGTTGGGTTCTTAGAAAGCTTTTTATACACCATAATTTAAGAGATTCTACTACAAATGGTATAAGTACAACATTTTTATTAATGCATTACATATTTTATTCCACATTTAATTAAGCAAATATTAAGTTTTAATGTAAGTTTTTAACCAATTTCCAAAAAGAGGAGGTTCTCAATTCGCCGGAATTTTTTTTTTATCATTTAAATAAAAATATACTAAAGAAATGAATAAATTATTATATAATATTGATATGTGTATTTATTTACACATATTAGTGTTTACCTAATGGTCGATTTAACTATAATTATTATTGAAATTATGAGGATAACTGATACATATGAATTTTTATCTATCTTCATAAGAAAAACTGTTTCTAATTTTTTTTATTAATAACCCTAAATTCGTCAATAGCTATTAAAAAAAAGAAATCGATAGACAAATGGACGAGATAAAAGTACTGAACTTTCTATTTATATAATAGAGTATATATATATATATATATATATATATATATATATATATATATATATATATATATATATATATATACATAACAGATAATACACGAGTTTTGAATATCAAATCGCAGGGGAGGAGGAATACAGAAGGATTTTCCTTATTCCTATTTAACTTATTCAATGTTCTGCGGTTAAAGCTACCTTATCAATTTATCAGTCAGAGGTAGTCGCGGAACTATATTTTGAAAATAAAAGACTAGCTTTTGCTAGCGTCTCCGCTCACGTAGTTTATTTGTGTACATTTGTTCTTTGAGGTATCACTATAAATTTTTACATGATGTATATACATATTTTCCATACATAACCCACGTTGCGGCTATGAGTATCGAGGCAATCTACAGTTTCACGTTCGCAAAGGTGACCTAAGATATGCTATTTTTAAATAAAAACGTGACTACGCCTAATCCTATGAGATGAAAAAAAAAATTAAGGCAGAAAATGGTAAGATATTCCGGCGTACACAGGAAAATCTTAAGTAGGGGAGGGTCGTTCTGTAAACTTATATAAAAATGTATTTTGATAAAAAAAATGTTATGATATTTATTTCATTACATTTCAATTATAATGTTACACTTACATAGTAAAAGTTGCTTTTTTGGCTTTAAAAATATTAAAACATAGCGACTCACCCTCGCTCCGCTCGGTTTCGTCACTAGGACGATTTTAACGGTTAGTATATATTTTTCATAGATGAGATATTTTACCGCAGTAAAAAGTATTCTACATATTCATCCGGATAACCAGCTATCATTATAACAAATTTCATCAAAATCCGTCCAGTGGTTTTCTCGTGATGCTTTCTCAGGCATACAAACAGTGAGACAGACATACATACAAAATAATTTAGATGGACTAATATTATAACCTTTAATGATAGCGTTATATTGAAAAAGTGCTTACGTTACGATTTAGTGAATGAAGCATTATCATCATTCTACTTTAAATGGAAGCGTTTGTATGTGTATATGTTTGTAAATTCTCCAAACTGGCACGGTAACACTGATTTGTATGAAATTTAGTATATATCACCTGGAGTAACGTATAAGCTATAGCTTGGATTCTAAGAACATAAGCAAAGCGAGGGTAAGTCGCTAGTTAAAAAATAAAGTAAATAATCGAAGGGTATTCCTGTAAAGATGTATGCTTTGTCAGCGCACCCCATTCGTTGCAACTGCTTTAGAGCCAGTTTTTTTTATTGAATTTATGTTTCTGAATGCATAATTTCTTTAACTAGGTATTTTTCGACCTTTGTCTTCTCATCTATTCTGAAAAAATACCGACATAAATGTATAAAAACTAAAAATATCTATAATCATAAATGCTGTAGTTAAATAATAAAATTAATGTTTCAAACTAGTTTCTATTATTTTTTTTTTATAAAAATAATCTGGAATTTAAGTTTATAAAACAAAAAGGTCCATTAAATATGCCCACTTGTTTGTAGTAAAGATCGATTACACATACTGACAGTTTGTCTTTAGATAAAGTATAGATAAATTCAAATATATTAGGTTTTCTGCACAGTATACTTAACTTAGGTTGTATCAAATCATTCTTCATTCAAAACCAATGGACCAAGCTTCACTGAAAGAGATACAAATTGTGAGAACCTACGAACGGATATTATAGCTCTTCCAAGCGATTACATTCCGTAGCTGTCTTAACATATACGCACATAAAGACTGGCAAATCCGATTTCACGTATTCCATATAAATTGGTACATAAAATGTTTCTTCTGAAATATGAATTTATGTTAAATCTTTCCATATACTTAAATAATATACATACGTTTCGATTACTTCTTGCATTTAAACTTTCTACACATCATATTTATTAAAAAATGCTCAAAAATAAAACAGAAAAACAATAAAAATAATCACTGTGTAGGGTCTGCTGATTTACGTGCTATTCAAGCCATAGGGCCTTTTCGCCAATATCCCTACTGCGAGCTATTACTGAGTTTTTTTTATAAAAAATATAATATTACGTTATACTTGGTCTGACCCGGGACTTGAACCTAGTATCTACGGATCTGCAGCCGTGCTTTCCAAATAAATAGGATATTAAAGAAATTAAAAGCAATTTATAATAGCATCTTAAGCAAATTCGTATTCGGTACAGTAATTCTAAACATTATTGTACAAATAGAACAAACGTACGTGTAATTCATTTCTTTTATAGTATAAATTAATACAAATAATCGTTTATTCCTTTAGACGTCGAATCGTGACACTATAATACCTTAAGATCTCTCGAGGGCGGACGATGAGAGTATTGTCCATAGTCTACTTACTACCATTTAAGCTTAATATGTTCTGTGTTATTTATTGAGCTCCATTTTTGAACGTCTATATTCTGAGCATGTACCTCCCCTCAATACAAGGGAGATAAGGCGATAGTTTACCAAGCCACCGCTGACCAAGTGCAACTTCCAAGGTTTTTTCAGACATGCAGGTTTCCTTAAGATGTTTTCTTTCACCGTATTAGCAAGTGATAATTACGTTGGCTTAACTGCCTCGGTGGTGTAGTGACTAGCATGTACGGCTGCACACCCGGAGGTCCTGGGTTCAAGTCCCGGGTCGGGCCAGGTTTAGTTATTGAGTCTTTCTGTATATTAAGCCTCAGTAACAGCCCGGAGTTTGGAAGTTGGCGGTGTTTCACCCCCGTGCCTCGGAGAGCACGTAAAGCTGTCCTGCGCTGTACCTCTTACCGGTCGTGTCGAGCAGTCCCACCGGAGTATGAGAGTGACAGGAACAGAGAGTGCACTTGTGTCTGCGCGTACACTTGTGCACTATAATATCTCCTGCGCAGTTGGCTAGTCTCAATGAGATTGGCCACCGTGGCCGGAATCGGTCGGGAGAACATCAATTATGTTAGAAATTATACGCACATAAAAATACACGAGTTGCAAGCGCCAATATTTGAACTCACTTGACATGGTTTTCCAAGCGAGCACGTTAGCATTGGGCTATCACTCCCTTTCGTACTTTAAGCAAATATATTTATTTGTTTTTGTGGTCCCTATAATATATAAAAACCAATACAATTAGCCCATTAAAGAAGCTTACATTATCTTGGAATGCGGAATACATATAATAAAATTGTAACTAAGCCGATCCTGTACATTAAATATTTTTTGGAAAATCTTATTGAAATAGACATTATTACTGATACAGAGGCCGAATCTATAGTTTTTAGAATTTTAGTCTGTCTATCTGCCTGTCTGTCCGTGTTGTCCGTTACCGCATCACGGAAAAACCACTAGACGGATTTTGATATAATTTGGTATGATGATATCTGGTTATCAGGGTCAACATATAGGATACTTTTTACGGCGGGAAAATATCTTGTTTATGAGAAAAAATACAAAAACTGCATTGTAAGAGTATACTAATATGTAAAACCTAATAATTTGGTTTTTGGTCATCTGAACACGGACGGAGCCGCCGGCAATGCTAGTATCTAATAAAATTAATGAAATATAGATATACTATAATACTATTCGATATTCAAAAAGCTTTTTAAATTACATATACTAAATCCTTTGTTAATCGACCCTTAGAAATACAACAGAAGGATAGTATTTTATAAGATAAAAATAATATTTTACATATATATTTAAAGTTGTTTGTACCATTTGTGAAACTAATCTTCCAGCTATTATACGAGCAAGCCAGCTCGTAGCAAGCAGTATTGGATTCTCCTCCTCCTCGAACCTCCGGCACTGTCGCACACTTAGGAATTGTGAATTGCAAATATTAGTCCGATTACTATCATATTTTGGATTATTAATGTAAAAGTTTGTATTAATGTATATGTATGTATGTTTGTTTGTTAATCCTTCACGTTAATGACTGGACATATTTGGATTAAATATAGTAAACAGATAGATATATGACCCGGAGTAATACATGGGCTATCGTTAGGCATCTAATGACGCAAGGTCGGAAGCTAGGTTAGGTCGTTAGTAAGGAATAAATTGCGAAACGTCGTTTTTAGGGTTCCGTACCAAAAGGGTACAATGTAAGGGTAAAACGGGACCCTAATACTAAGACTCCGCTGTCCGTCCGTCTATCTGTCCGTTTGTGACCAGGCTGTATCTCATGAACTGTGACAGTTAGACAGTTGAAATTTTCACAGATGATGTATTTCTGTTGTCGCTATAGCAACAAATACTAAAAAGCAGAATAAAATAAATATTAAAGGGGG